TATGCATATATGTATATATATCTGTAGGAACATAGTATCCCAGACCAGAAAGGACTTTAGAGGAATGAGATGCTAATAATCCTATCCTGGTAGGATTATTATCAATTATTTCTATTTTCTCCCTCATATTTCATGTATCTTCAAAGGTTTTCACAATATGTATCTATTACATTTGTGATCAAAAATAAAAAGTTGGGACGGGAGTAACTGCTTTTCTGATCCTGGTGGCACAGGCCTATAATCCCAGCACTCAGAGGCTAATGTGGGAAGACTGTCAGTTTGAGGCCAGCCTGAGCTACATAGTAAGCCCTTGTCTGAAAACAGAGAGAAAAGCATGTTACTGAAGCTTGTTAGTGAAACAAAAACAAAAACAAAAACTCCACAGCAAATTATTCTGTGACTCGGTAAAGCCTCTCCTGTCTAATAGCTCTGGGTTCCGGAAATGGACAGCAGGTTTCCTGGGAGCAGGAAGCAGGCCAGAGCTCCTTGGTTCCCGGAGGGGGCTTGATTCCCTCCTCCACTTGGGGAATACAAGCAAGGCAGCGGAAGGCCGCTCTGCCTGTGTTTGGCAAAAGCAGATCACATTGCCTTTTTCCTTCAAAATGGCATCAAAGTCTGAATCCTCCCTTTACATGCAGTGGGTGTGCAAACACGTAGTGCTGAGTGAGTTCGGGGAAATGAGCGACGTCTGTAAAAGGCTACCCATGCTGGGATTATAGCTGCAAACAGAACCAGCCTAGGCCAGGAAGGGATCACAGGGAAAGAGCACAGCGCAGCGCTGCACAAGTATGCGTCACTGTTTTCTTTTACTTAATTGCTCGGCTTGTAAATTTTTCAAAACTAATATAAGCATATTTTACAGCTCACAGAACATTTAGAACATATTAAAGCAAGTATCTTTCTACCGCAGTGTGCCCAACTGAAATTTATTAATTCGGAAGCTAGGCTTTCAGAAGAAGAAAGGGCTGGCACTCCACGCTCTGTAGATTAATCAGATGGATTGTGTTGTTTTCCTCCAGATCAGAGAAGAACCATCTCTCAGTAAATGTTACCTTGAGTCAAAAGATTCTTTCACGTTCTAGAAGCTTTGAGGGGCCACTGATAGTCTTACTGTGCCCCCTAGTGGCAAGAAAAATTAACGCAGACAAAATAAAAATCCTTTCCTCAAAGCCAGCAACAAAACCCAGCAAATGTTTTAAAATCTTTATTGATCACTTTACACATATAAAATTTGGTGCCAGTGCTACAGAGAATATGAGAGTGGGTTTGGCATGGCTCCCAGACTCAGGAAGCGCGCAACCTAGCAAGCTACTCAGGTAGAATCAACCGCCACTGCCCATCAGAGATGGAACAAATTCTAGTGGGGGAAAGCAAGACCCCAGCCCATGCTGAGTGCCAACCAGGTGCCAGAGCAGCTCGTGGCAATTCACCACCCGCAGCATCGACTGCTCTAGGAAGTACAGCAAGGCATCAGTAACCTCTCCACTGCACACATAAACAGGCTGCTTCTTCCACTGCTGCCTCCTCTCTGACATCAGGGACCAACAGGCCCACTAAAACCTTCATCCTCGCCAGGACTTCCCTCCCCAAATGCCCACCAGCCCCTTCCGGTCCCCAATCTGTCCTCCCATTCTGAATCCTCAGGTGCCTGACACATTTTTCATACTGGAACATTGCTCAAAGTCAACTTGTCCAAAACCAATTTTCCAAATAACTCAGCCACTGAAAACTGTCAGAAACACCTTAGAAGAGGCCCCTAACCTGCTGTTGACATCTGAGGCTCATAAAAGCCTTGGTTTTCATGACACCTCCATAAGAGAGGGTCAAAAGAAACTGACCTCAGCAGTAGGCTCAGCACTGCCCCCTGAGGGCAAGTGTGGTCTGCATCTAGAGTCTCCTCCAGTGGGGGGGGGGGGGGGAGGAGGGGGCGCGGGCGGCTGGGGGGGTGTAAGGCATTGAAGGCAAAGCGGGCAGCTCCCTAGAAACTTCTTGAAAGGCATAGGGGGCCTCACTGCAGTACTATCACCTCCAAAACATGCACTTCCCGGGGACAGGGAAGCACAGCCACAGGGCCCTGAACACAAGTCCTACACTGCGGTGTCAGGTACAGGCTGAGGTACAAGCCTTCCAGCCATCCCAAGCTGTGCCAACTGCACCCTCTTCTGGTCATGAGGTGTTATTGCTAGCTGGCTGCTCAGGATTTTGGACCATAGCGGCAGGAGAAATCTGGCAGCCTCAGGCTCAAGGGCAGCAGGCCGGGGGCATTCATCTGCTCTTGACACTCAGAACCAATGTTCCTGCTCAGGCCTTCTGTTGAAAACCATCAGAGGAACCCAAAGTTTCCTGGACAACTGGGACCCAAGCTGAACAAACATTGAGCTATACACTGGGCTGCCAGGTAGAAACCAGTCCCCACAGGGCTCTAGGTCTGCCTCCTGTTATCAGGGGACAGCAGTGGAAGTGGGCAGGTAGGGACCTGAGCACTGCCCACACCTCTCTCTGAGGCTATGCCCTACACAGAAGGCCCTAGTCCATGGAAAGCTGCCTCTGCCCCCTGCAGGCCTCTGCTTCCGGCATCTTCCAGGCTGCCCACTCCCTCCATGGTCTTACAGAGGTGACACCTCACTCCCTCCAGGTGCCTGCATCCACACCTACCCTTGTAACACTGCACTAGCCCAGGACTCAGCTAGCTTTGGACACACAGCACACTGGCCCTGCCCAAGGGCACAAAGCTGTTGGAGATGGAGCTGACTCTGAACCAGGCCACCCTCACCCCAGTCCACCTCCATGCCACATTTCTGGGGGCAGAGCTGTCACCACCTATATGCTAAGAGGCAAGTCCTGGCTTGCATCCAGGACTCACATACAACAGAATGGCTGCCATGCTCAAGCTACAGACACCCCACCGGCAGATGCAAGGAGCAGAGAGGTTAGATGTGAAAAACCCAGCAGATACATTAGACAGGGTGGTTCCAGAACTCTGAGGAAAGGAGAGAGAAACAGCCAACACTTTCTAGGCACCATGGGGCACCAGGTCTGCACCAGGTGCTTTTTCCAGAGGATGCCAGTGTAATTACGCTTTTCACAGATGAGCTGGTAGACTCACGAGGACAGCTGGACCAGCCACCAGCTATCCTGCAGAGAGCAGACTTAAGGCCATGTTCTTTGCAAGCAGCTGCAGTTCAGTTAGTTTAGAGTCCCTCAATGGATGGAGCCCCTCCATAAATAATTTGCCTCCCGTTTAACTTATCTGTGCTACCAGGCTAAGCTGCTCAAACTTTACTTTGCAAGCCATAAGTTCAAGTTTGCACTTAAAGATTATAAGACAGCATTTCTTGAAAACAAATATTCAATCCCATCAAATTCAATAGAGCATTTCTCTACTTGCCTTCCCTTCCTCTCCCCAAGCCAGATTATCAAAACTTGAGTATTTAGCCAGGCACTGGTGACTCATGCCTATAATCCTACCTACTCAGGAGACTGAGATCTGAGAATCCTGGTTCAAAGCCATCCCAGACAAGAAAGTCCATGAGTCTCGTATCTTCAATTAAGCAGCAAAAGAGCCAGAAGTGGAGGTGTGGATCAAGTGGTAGAGTGCTAGTCTTGAGCACAAAAGCTCAAAAACAGTACCCAGGCCCTGAGTTCAAGCCTCGGTAACAGCGCAAAAAAAAAAAAAAAAAATGGTGGAGAAGGGAAACTTGAATACTGATTATTCCTCATAGTATTCAAGGTGATGCACAGTGTATCATAACATCTGATCAAAAGATTACAAAGAACTAACAGTGCTGCCAGCACATTCTTCAGTAGGGTTATGAGCTTTGCAGCCAAACCAAGGATGCTTGCTTCTAAGGATCCATCATAAACAAAGACCAGGAACAAGTCAATGAGGAAAACTGAAATAGCCCCATGTTTATTGCAATATTATTTACAGTGTGGGCTATTAAGAACTACTTAAGCCAGGCACTGGTGGTTCATACTTATAATCCTAGCTTCTCCAGAGGCTAAGATGTGAGGATTACAATTGGAAGCCAGCCTAAGCAGAAAAGTCTGTGAGACTCTTATCTTCAATTAACCACCAAAAAGCTGGAAGTGGAGCTGTGGCTCAGATGGCAGAGTACTAGCCTTGAGAAAAAAAGCTCAGGGACAATGCCCAGGCCCTAAGTTCAAGCCCCAAAACTAGTGAATAAATTTTGGTATAACCAGACGATAAAATAATACAATAGCATTATACAATAAAGTAAGATATCACCTGGTCATGCCATAATTGAACACTCTGGTGCTCCAGGCAAGGCAACAGCAAGGAAGTGTCAGAGAAGGAGGGACTAACCATCCAGGGCTGACCACAGAGGACCCATCAGGAATGCAACAAAGAATTACAGAAATTTCCAGAAAGAAATGCCCAGCCTAGCCTGGCACTAGTGGCTCGGGCCTGTAATCCTAGCTACTCAAGAAGCTGAAATCTGAGGCTGACAGTTCAAAGCCAGTCCAGGTAAGTCTGTGACTCTCTTATTTCCAATTAACCACCAGAATACCCGAAGTGGAGTTGTGGCTCAACGCGGTAGAGTGCTAGACTTGAACAAAAAAGCTCAGGGACAGTGCACAGGCCCTGAGTTCAAGCTCCTTGACTGAGCAGAAAGAGAGAGACAGACAGAGACAGACAAAGAGAGAGAAATGTCCAGCCTGTGATCAGCCAAGCCAGGTACCAATGGCTTACCTCTGTAATCGTAGTTATTCAGGAGGCTGAGATCAGAGGATCGTAGTTCAGAGCCAGTTGGGGCAAGAAAGTCCATGAGATTCTTATCTCTAATTAACCACCAATAAGCCAGTGGTGTAGCTATGGCTCAAGTGGTAGAGCACTAGCCTTAAGCAAAAAAGCCTTGAGTTCAAGCCCCAGTATCAGCACACACACACACACACACACACACACACACACACACACACACGAAGTTGTCCCCAGACAATCTGAGGACAAATGCTGTCACTCTGGTCTTACCTTGAAGGTCTTATCCATAGACGTGGACAGGAGCATGTGACTCTTTGAAAAGACTGGACACCATTGGATGCTGTTGACAGGCCCTCCATGGCCTCGAAGGTGGAAGAGCACTTTCCTGGGGACCTTGGTTTCCCTGAACTGACTTTTCAAATGTGGCTGGATGGTCTCAGACACCACGGGGGGCATGCGGAGAGGGGCTGGAGCACGATCTGCAGGCGGCCCCTGTGGCTCGGGGTCAGGAGTCCTGAGTGTCTCCGAGCTCAGTGCCTGGAGCTGCCTCAGTCTCTTTGGGGTATAAGGAACCACACAGTCCTCTCCCCTTTTCCTCTGGAGAGAGCTGGCATGTCTATGTGTGGTTTCAGACATGCTTTGAGCGTGGGAAGGGGCGTTGGGGGCGGCCCAGGGGGGCTTCACTTGCTTCAGGCAGGCAGCTGCCCAGGGCACGTGGCTCGCAGGAGCATGGCTGGTCCACAGGGAGGAAGGGCGAGGAAGCGCGCCGGAGGGGCATGGCACTTCAGGCTCCTTCCTGGGCCACTGCAACCTCTGGCTGGGACAAGATCCCGGGTCATTTTTCCAGAGCCGAACCAGCGGGAGACGCTCTCCCCTGAGCTCTTCACCAGGGTGCTGGGCGAGCGGTGCTCCCTCGTTGGTTATGTCCGCTGCACAAGGTGAAAAGTCCTGCCCAGAAGGTCTGTCCACACCAGAAACATCCGTCATTCGGTCAGCGTCGTTCCCACCTCCGGCAGGGTGGGGCTCGGCCTCTGAGTCAGAATCGTCATATGCCACCAGCGAGGCCATTGGGCCACAAGTCCGATCATCCAAGGAAGGCAAACTACCTAAGGAAACAAGGCCAGCACTCAGCAACTGTGCATGGGAGAATACTTACACAGTATTTTTAAAAAAATATATTAAAAGAACAAGATGGGCACTGGTGGCTCACGCCTATAATCCTAGCTACTCAGGAGGCTGAGATTTGAGGATCAAGGTTCAAAGCCAGCCCAGGCAGGAAAGGCTGTAAGACTCTTATCTCCAATTAACCACCAGAAAACCAGAAGTAGTGCTATGGCTCAAGTGGTAGAGCACTAGCCTTGAGCTGAAAAGCTCAGGGACAGCACCCAGGCCCAGAGTTCAAGCCCCATGACTGACAAAAACAAACAACAACAACAACAAAAACTCATCTGGAAATTTCAAGACCAAACTCAAAAGAAAAACACAAAAAAGGGCTTTAAAAAGGAAGCTAAAAGAAAAGATTCTGAATATTTTCAACACCTCTTCAGAGATGGTAAATTTTTAAGGAGGTAAGACTGTTTAGCTTGATTTAAACATTATATAACATAGAAATTTTTAAATAATTCAAAATATAAAGACTGTCCTATACAACAGGCACAATTACTTAGAAAATGTCTTTGTAGCCAGGCGCCAGTGGCTCATGCCTGTCTTTCTAGCTACTCAGGAGGCTGAGATCTGAGGATCACGGTTCAAAGCTAGCCCAGGCAGGAAAGTCCGTGAGACTCTTATGTCCAATAAACCACTCAGAAAATCAGAAGTGGCACTGTGGCTCAAGAAGTAGAGCCCTAGTCTTGAGCTGAAGAGCTCAGGGACAGCACCCAGGCCCAGAGTTCAACCATAACTGATAAAAAAAAAAAAAAAAGAAAGAAAGAAAGAAAGTGTGTGTGTGTGTGTGTGTGTGTGTGTGTGTGTGTGTGTCCATACTGGGGCTTGAACTGAGGACCTTGTACTCTTGCTTTTTCTGCTCAAGGCTGGCATTCTACCACTTGAGCTATACTTCCACTTCCAGCTTTTGCTAATTAATTGGAAATAAGTCTCTTTGGATTTATCTGTCCAAGCCTCCTTTGAACTGGGATCCTCAGATCTATCTAGGAATATAGATGTAAGCTACCAATGTCCAGCAGAACTTTTAAAATGAAGATGACTTCAGAGTGCCAATGGTTCACACACCTGTAATCCTAGCAACTCAGGAGGCTAGGATCTGGAGACATGGCTCAAGTGGTAAAGGGCCATCTGAACAAGAAAACCAAGTGAGCATGAGGTCATGAGTTCAAACCCCACTACCATCAACACAGGAAAAAAAATGAAGACTAATAGACACTAGGGAATAGATCTTAAAAAGAAAAAAGAAAATGAGGCCTTCATAAAGAAACTAAGATGTGCTGAAAGACAGAAAAAAGGACCTGACTAGGAATGGGGCATGACTCAAATTATAGACCACCTGACCAGCAAGAGCAAGGCCCCCAGTTCATTTCAGTAACACACACACACACACACCCCTAAGTGGCGACAAAGTGCCTAGATAGTCTGGAGGAAGGGTGACAAAGCTGTCTGTGGGAGGCAGTGTGTATACAACTTTAAACACGCAGTGTCTTACTAGCCACGCCACCCTGTGACTGTCTCTTATACAAACACCAGTATGTTGGACAGATGTATACATGGATACAATAAACATCTAATGAACGCTTGTAGCACTGATTTTAGCAGCTATAATCCTAGTTACTCGGGATACTGAGATCTGAGAATCATGTTCAAAGCCAGTCTGGGCTTCACCTCCAATTAACCACCAAAAAGCCAAAAGTAGAGCTGTGGCTCAAGTGGTAGATCGCCAGCCTTGAGCAAAAAAAAAAAGCTAAGCAACAGCACCCAGGCCCTGAGTTCAAGCCACAGTAGGAGCAGAAAAAAAAAAGTGGCAAGTCACCAAGTGGGAGAATGTAGCACCCTCCTCATCCTTACCTGCCTTGAATGCTAGTCTTTCCCTCTGTTCCCTGCTTGGAAGAGATATTCCATCTCTGCCAGAAGCCAGTGGGAGACATAGACCCACAACACAAGGCTGACAGAGGTCAGGTATTCAGGCACCGGACACTCAAGCACAGCTGGAGCAATTCTGATGGTGTGATCCAAATTTACCCACGTTGCCCCAAATGCACAGATTCACACTGCATTAAAGGTTCTCTTTAAACAAAACAAAACAAAAGGAAAGAAAAATTCTTTCTGCAATTCTGAACCATCATACATTGTTAGCAATTGTTAGCAGCTAGTTCTCAGTGTGCTATTAGAAGAAGGGGGGGAGGATTGGATGGATATGTTGGGCATGCTTCAGCCAGCAGAGGGCATAGCAGATCAATACTCTAAGCCTAGTCCATGGACCAAAGTAGGCCCAGGTTGACGTCAAACTCCCAATCTTACCTCTCAGCTCCCAAGTGCTAGTATTATAGAATACCAGTGTGCCTGGCTCAATGCTAAGTTTCAATGTCCTCTAGAATCAACCACTCAGCCCTTCCACAGCTTTCCCCAAAATGGCACTATTTGCCTAAGGAGCTCCTCATTCAAGTCAGGTCACATTCAATAAATATCTGCATTTCGTTGCTCTAACAATGCCACTACTGCTAGTAGCCTAATCCAGACATGTAATAATGACCACATGCAAACTCATCACAATAATATTTCAAAGACCAGCCAACCCCTCTCAAATGGACCTAATACAATACAGTGGCCTGATTATAGACAAGTAAAATTACGCTCTGTGGATGACTTGATCTCTAAATACTCAGCTGGGACTTGAAGCCAGTCTCAGCTCCTGGTCCAGGCATGCCCACCATAGCATGTGACTCCTTCCTGTCTAAGGGAACCACTGGGCTGCTGTGCTCAGCACGGGAATGGCTCCCACCCATGCAGTTGTCATAGTGATCGACTCATATGAGAGGCCTATAGTGGAAGACCAGACAGCAGTGTGGCCCAGTAGCCCAACCTTAGGACAGGACACCTGGTCACTCCATTGCACATTTCCTCACTCATCCAACAAGCATAGATGGTGCACTGACTCCTCACTGAGCCCCACCAGGAGGCACCAAGAACACTGACACAGTAAATGACACCTACACTGAAGGAAGGGCAGACCCCAGATATGCAAGCTGGAGGATTTCAGGAAGCAAAACAACAGTGATGAACCTGACCCCTGGCTGCAGTTCCTCAGAAGCTGAGAAGACAACACCTGGGTGATGTCCAGTGCTGACAATGTAACAGAACCAAGGAGAAGAGTCAAGATTCACTCAAGAAAACAGACAGACAGCAGGGTGCCTGCAGTCCTAGTACTCAGGAGGCTGAGTTCTGAGGCCCCAGGTTCAAAATTAGCCCTGGCAGGAAAGTCTATGAGAGTCTTATCTCCAATTAACCACCAAAAAAAAAAAGTGGATCTGTGGATCAAGTTGTACAGTGCAGCAGGTCTTAACCAAAAACACTCAGGGACAGCTCCCAGACCCAGAGTTCAATTCCTAAGACCAGAAAAACAAACAAACAAACAAACAACAACAACAAAAAAGCCAGGTGCCAGTGGCTAATGCCTATAACCCTAGCTATTCCAAGGCTGAGATCTCAGGGACAGAAACAGCACCAGACTGAGTTCAAGCTCCAGGTCCAGCAAAAATTAAAAATTAAAAAGAGAAAATACAGCTCACCCCTGTAATCTTAGCTGGTCAGGAGGATGAGACCTGAGGATGGCGGTTCAAAGCCAACCAGAGCAGGGAAAATATGTGAGACTCTTATCCCCAGTTAAGCACCCAAAAGAGCTCAGGGACTGCACCCAGGCACTGAGTTCAAGCCTCGGAACTGGCACAAACAAAAAGGGGGTGAATTTTTTTTTCATGAAAAGGGGGCGTGGCTCTCATGGAAAAGGGGGCGTGGCTCAACCAAGAAGGAGGAACAGATCCGGGAAAGGACCAGGCATGGGGGGGGGGGGGGGGGCCAAGCGCCTACACGAGGGCAGGAGATTCCGTGTTTTGTTCTCTGTTCGAGGATCCCCGAGTCCACTGTGGAATTCAACCTGCTGGGAGGGGATGAACTAGGACACTCCCATTTAGCCAATATTTTCTGACTACCTTATTCGGTGTCAGGCCCTTAAGTGGGCCTGGTGTGGGTAGGAATTAAGCAAAAATCACGAATCCTGCCCCCGAGGGACCACAGAACGAGTTTAAAAAAATCAACAAATAAGACACTAGCCAGAGATGGGTTTTGAAGGATGAGTAGAAGTTAACCGCGCGGCCAACCGTAAGCGGTACGGACGGCTGAGACGACCGCGCTTTCAGAAGAAACCGGGAAGGAAAACGGAGCGAACCGCTACGGAAGACCCACGCAGGGCAGCGTGGGGCGCTCCGGCCGCCGCCCGGTCCCCGCGCCCTCCCGCCCGGGGCCCGCCGCTCACCACACGCGCCGGAAGCGCCCGGTTCTCCCTGAGGCGTCCGGGCCTGCCCTCCGCCGCCCAGTCGCCTTCCGCCGCGACGCCGGGCTCACCAGCCAATCAGCGGCGGGATCCTCCTCGCCCCCGGCAGGAACAGCCAATGATAGTGCGCCGGGGCCGGAAGTGGTTCCGGCCGGACGGCGTTTCCACGGACGCTCAGCAGGCGTCCCGTGGGTGAGCCGGCCGCGGTGACAGGCCCGGTGGGGCCGGGTAAGTAAAGGGAGGGCGGCCCGGACGGGGAGGAGGGGAGAGGGGAGGGCGGCCGGGGCGGGGAGGAAAGGAAGGGGGAGGCAGGACGGCGCCACGGGCCCGGCCCTCCCGGGGCCGCCTGCGCTCGGAGACCGACGGCCCCTCTCAGAGCCGCCCGCCGTGCCCGGGCTGCGGCCCGGCGGGGGGCGCGGAGGCTGGCGCGACCCACCTCGCCCGCTCCTAGCAGCGTGGCTGAGGGTCCACGTCCCGCCCCGACGCCCCGACCCCTCGTGCCTCACCCCTGCCTCCCCCGACCGCACTTCGTGTTCCCTGGCGCCGGCTGGGGGCCGGGGACCCTGGGGCCCGGGGCCGGGGCGCTGCTGGTGGAAGGGTGGCGTCGTGTCTCCAGAGTCTCGTTGCACCCATTTCCCAGGTGCAGAAACAGAGGGGGGAGCAGAGAGGTGAGGGACTCTCCATCCATTCCAGTCAGTTTCGATCCCAGGCTGGGTTGAAACCCCAGGTCTTTCTAGCCTGGGGTTCCAGAGCTTTCCACTGCCCTGCGAGCCTCCCCAGAACACCAGCAGGCGCGGGGCATTTCCTCTGCCTGCGCCCCGTCCCGTGACCACACCTCAACAGTTTCCAGTGATGCTGCGGGGTGGGGAGCAGGACCAGGGCAGGCCAGTCATGTGGCTGCTGCGGGCCTGGGTGAGGGAGTGGCTGATGCAATGGCTTGTGGCTGTTTCCTTGAGGGTGTCACTGACCTCTCCATCTCCCCCCCCTCTCCCCCCCTCCTCCAACCTGCCCTTTTTTGGACAAGGCTCATTAAGAAGGTTGCTCCAAGGGCTGAGATGTTTCTGAGAATCTAGTGATTTCCCAGAAACAACTGTCTGTGCAAGTAGCTGAAGGGGTGGGGTGAGGTAGGCAAGGAAGAGGAGCATTTCTGGAAAAGGAAAGCGAAAGAACGCTGGGAGGAGTATTAAAGACCACCCCTGGCCATTCTCAGCTGCTCATCTGCCCCGTGTGTCTGGTGGCCACCTTCTCTGTGTCTCCAACAACCAGGGTATGTATTGACAACTCTACCAGGCTTTCAGCTGCTTTTTAGTTCTTTTCATGCTTAAAAAAAAAAAAATCAAAGTGCTGGAAATCTCAGGATAAGGGATTGCCTTTCTTAGTTTTTGAATGTGGTGCATTTTATTTATCTGGTGCTTTCTTGCTTCCATAAAAAATGGAGGGTGGGGGCTTGGTACCGAGTGTGCCTTTCACCACCTTCCTGTTTGATTTTTCTTTCACTAATTCAGTCCCTCTAGTCAAAATAAACACGTTGACATTCTTATTATGCCCCAAAGTAACTAATGCTTGGCTTTTTATAAGTTCTTTTTAACATGGTGTTCACGGGGCTACGGGTGTAGCTCAGTTTGTAAAGTGCTAGCTTACCATGTGCTAGACCCTGGTACAATCCCCAATACCACACACATGCACACATACACAATTTAATTATCAGAAGAAGGAAATAAACTTTTCATAAACAGAGTTTAATCCTTTTTTTTTTTTTTTTTTGTTGGTTGTGGGCCTTGAACTCTGGGCCTGGGCGCTGTCCCTCAGCTCTTCAGCTCAAGGCTAGCGCTCTACCACTTGAGCCACCAAGCCAAAGTTTGGAACAGATTGCTTGCTCAGAAGAGATCATTTTTCCCTGGAAACTTGTGCATCCCAAAGCTATTGTGTGAGACCACCACAATCCCACCTGCTGGTGAGATTCCAGGCATCCAGAAAAACTTTGCTGGGCCTCCAGAGCTGTTCCAGAACTCTTTTTGTTTTAGTTTCTTGCAGATTGTGTATGTGTGTGACTTTTTTTGCTCAAAGCTAATGCTTTACCACTTGAGCCACACTTCTCCATCCAGCTTTTTTGCTGGTTAATTGGAAATAAGTCTTTCAACTATGTCTGCCAGGGCTAGCTTGGAAATGGGATCCTCAGATCTCAGCCTTCTGAGTAGCTAGTGTTACAGCCTGAACCACCTGGCTTCAGAATTGACTGTTTTGATGCCAGCTTTCCCTAGATTTCAAACTCAGTGTATCTTATCTATGATGGTTTTGCTACAGCCAGCCCTTCTGTTCCTTCGAGTACTGGATCCACTTTCTGTAAATGCCTGTTTTACCCATGTAGAACAAAGACATCTTTCTAAATGAGCACAAGATTCAAGTGCCAGAAAAGGGGAATTGGAATGTAAGAAACCGTGTCACTTTCTTGTCAGAGGTCTGTTAAAGAGTAGCCAGCTTGGGGTTGGGAAGGTGGCTCAGTGGTAGAGTGCTTGCCTTGCATGCATGAGGCCCTGGGTTCGATTCCTTAGCGCCGCATAAGTAGAAAAAGCCGGAAGTGGCGCTGTGGATCAAATAGTAGAGTGCTAGCCTTGAGCTGAAGAGCTGAGGGACAGCGCCAGAGTTCAGGGCCCAGGACCGGCAAAAAAAAAAAAAAAAGAGTAGGCAGCTGGGCTGTTTATACTCCCAGTGCCTTGGTTTAGAGGAAATATAGATCATAGTTATAATTTCATCTCCTTTGAGATTGTATCAGTTATATAAAGTAGATAGACCTTCCTTAACAAAAACTCAACTCTCCATTTGGGGTTTATGTAGTAGACCCTTAAGACAATGGCCCATAACGTTTTGACATCTTAGACTCTTTTGAAAGAGTAAAGAAAATGTAGGTACTCTGCTTTAAAAACAGGGATAATCCAGCTCACATGCAAACTGGGATGTCATTTGAGAAGTCTGGACTTCAAGCTGGAAATCTCTGATGTTAAACTATTCAAGTTTTAACTTCTTTTTTTTTTTTTTTTTTTTGAAAATAGAGTAAAGGAGACAGAAGAAATAGAATAGAAATGAAGTCAATGACCAGAGCAGGTTTATTCAGGACAAGCCTGAAAGGAACCCTTTCTACTGTGGTAGAGAGAAGAATTCCTCTCTTGCAGCCTCAGGATGTATAAGGGAAAAAATGCAGGACAACACTGGGGCAGGAGCTGAATTTTGCAATTTGACTGTAGGGGCAGGAAACTCAGATTAAGAGACATTCAGTTGAGCAAGACATAATGGCCAAATGTCATTCTTTCTGGAGAAATGGTGTTAGACCAGTCCTGTTCATTTTTACCTTTCAGAATTAACTAGACACGAGCTACCAAGTAAAAGTAGATATCAACTTACTTGTGAGAAAGAAAGCTGTTCATGCACTAAATAGGTAGATGAAAGCATGAAGTGAGGGAGGTAGTAGTTCTGCTCCCACTCATGCAGTGAGTGCGCTCTGATCATCGGAGCAGGAAGATCTCACCTGTTGTTCCTTCCCTCTGATTTAGTTCCCCTTGTGCCTCTTTTGAAATGGGATTATAATATTTAAAGGTACATACACTTCCATGCAGCATAGAGCCTGAATGCACACTCAGGTCCTCTAGCTGATTCTTTCCCAAAGAAACAGCAGTTTGGTTGCAGTAAAGGAGACTGGCTGTCCTAGAATAACTCCATTTTTCTACTGACATTTCCTAGGAATTTTGTAAGATAATTTTGATGAATATATAATTTGGATCCTACTATGTACCAGGTACCACAAATACATGGAAGGATAAACCTGGTATGGCTTTCATGGCCTACTAAAGAAGACAGGAGTAACTAAAAGCAGTGTGAGCACCTTAAGGAAGGAAATAAATGAAGGAAATGCTTCGAGATCACAAAGGCTAGAGGGACCCACTTGTTCCCAGAGCTGCAGAATTCAGGAAAGGAAGTGTGAGCTGGACACCAATGGCTCATACCTGTAATTCTAGCTACTCTGGAAGCCAAGATCTGATGGTCAAAGTTCAAAACCCTGGGCAGGAATGTCCCTAAGATTCTTATCCCCCATTAACTACCAAAAAGCCAAAGTGGAGCTATGACTCAAGTGGTAGGGCATCAGCCTTGAGCAAAAAAGCTAAAAGAGCCCAAGCCCTGAGTTCAAATATCAGTACTGTAACAAAAAGGAGGGAGCGAGGAAAAGAGAGGAAAGAAGGAAGGGAGGGAGGGAAAGGGAAAGAAAAAAGTTGAGTTCTATCCAGACAAAAGGAGGGTAAAACTTTGTGCACTGAGGAGCAACTGGAATTCTGAAAGCCTGTGACCCAAGAGGGGCTTTAGCATTTGCTGTCTAGTACTGGTGCTCAAAAAGGTAGCCTGACTTCCCTGAACCATCAGCCTCCTGTCTGCTATGGAAAACACATAACAGTCACCCCTGACTCTGAAATGAAGAAACTTGGGATGGAGTATAGTATATGGGTGTGATGTTGGATCATTTGTGAGTAGAAGTAGTTTGAATTACTTTCTTTGTCATCTGATGAGAGCAGATCTCAGAGAGAAAGGAGTAATGACTAATTCATCAGCTTATTGCTAGGGCTCAGATGGGAACCTGTGTTGTTCCTCTTCTGTGGCACTAAGAGAAAGGTACTTCCTCTTTTTTTTTTTTCCCCATTCTGGGTCTTGAACTCCAGGCCTGGGTACTGTCACGCATTTTTATGCTAAAGGCTTGTGCTTTGAGCCACAGTGCCATTTCCAGCTTTTTGATAGTTAATTGAAGCTAAAAAGTCTCATGAACTTTCTGCTGAAGTTGGCTTTGAACTGCAATCCTCATATCTCAGCCTCCTGTGCCCAACTCTATGTCTTATGGGCCATTCTAGGCTGAGAACACCTTATTACACCAGTCAGTTATCTCTCTAGACCTCTTTTTCCCAGGGCTATAATTCTCTGCAATTAAGAAAAGAAACTAGCCTTTCCTATCCTAGTATCATACTGCGATTTAATGATTTATAGGAAGGTGGATGTCATTAACATTCACACACTTCTTAAATACTGAATAAGTGGATAAGTTACATCTCCTATTTGGGTGTTGGGCTCCAAGAATTAAGGAGTTTTTAGACACAGGTTAAAAGTCAGACTACTTGAATTGGTGGCCCATCTCCCCACTTGCTTGTGTTGAGCAAGCTTTCTAACCCTCTGTGCTTCAGCTATGAAGCAGAAAGAACAAATGTATTGCTCACACAGAATCTGGTAAGGCTCAAGGGAATTGGTGTATGCTTATGTTACCACTGAGTGGGAGTGGTCTGAATGATAAAGATCCCACCCAGATTGTTAGTAGCATTTTCAACCAAGAATTGCCTGAAGACACACACAAATGTAGTGTAAAAGCAAGGAGCTTAGTACCATTAAGAGAAGTAGTGGGCTTGGTGTCTCAAGAGCTAGGTCAAAGGAGAGAGACTGAGACAGATGCACCGACAGGCATTTCCGTCTCCACGGGCAGGGAGTGGGAGTTAAAAGACTCAAGCCTGGGGCTGGGAAGGTGGCTCAGTGGTAGAGCGCTTGCCTTGCATGCCTGAGGCCCTGGGTTCGATTCCTCAGCACCACATAAGCAAAAAGAAAAAAGCTGGAAGTGGCTCAAGTGGTAGAGCACTAGCCTTGAGCTGAAGAGCTGAGGGACAGCGCCCAGGCCCAGAGTTCAGGCCCCACGACCGGACCCAAAAAAAAAAAACCAACAACAAAAAAGACTCAAGCCGGCCGCTGTTACTTGCCACCTTTGTTCTTCCTGAGCCATTGCGTAGACTTGCCCAGTTCTTACCATTTCAAAGGAGAAGCAGTTTTAGATAGCTACTCCCACTTACTTCTCTCTGCCTTCTAGCTTAGCATCTAAATGGGAGGACACCTAACTGCACTGTTTCAGCTTTTGAGACTGGACCTTTTTATCTTTATTAAAAATAATATAAGGTATTGGTTGGCTTCAATTTTCATTATGTTTTCTCTTAATTTTTAAATATTAAAAACAGCCATAATAATATAAGCTGGGCATTGGTGGCTCACCCTTATAATCCTAGATACTTAGGAAGCTGAGATCTTTGGATCCCAATTCAAAGCCAGCCCAGGCAAGAAAGTCCATGAGACTCTTATCAACAGTAAACTACTCAGTAAAAGGCAAAAGTGGTGCTGTGGCTCAGGTGGTAGGGCACTAGTCTTAAGCACAAAGCTCAGGAATAGTACCCAGACTCTTAAATTCAAGCCAGGACCAGCACAAAAATAGATAAATTTAAATACAAACACACATGTATGCATGAGTGTATGTATGTATGGCTATATACCTCTAAGTGATTTGATTGCTTTAAATCTTTTTTTTTTCCCGTCAGTTGTGGGGCTTGAACTCTGGGCCTGGGCACTGCCCCTCAGCTCTTCAGCTCAAGGCAAGTGCTCTACCACTTGAGCCACAGCACCACTTCCAGTTTTTTGGTACTTTATTGGAGATAAGAGTCTTATAAACTTTCCTCCTGGGCTGGCTTTGAACTGTGATCCTCAACTCTCAGCCTTCTGAGTAGCTAGGATTACAGATGTGAGCCACCAGCCCCTGGCCTCCCTTTAAATCTTAAAAGGATATGTAGAAGGAAGAGAGTATCTCCCAGAATGTGACAAGAAGGAGTTTTAGTCTTCTTTCTGTAGTTAACCTGTCTCAGAACAATACCAGGGTTGAAGTGCTCAGAGTTTGGGGCTCATACACTAGCTGCCACTGCAGCCACCAGCCCCTTTACATTCAAAGTGTCATAACAAGTTAAGGTAAAGCTGGACATATGTGGTGCTCTAGAGCCCTAGAAACAAAATCTAGTGTAATGCCGAGAGTCGCCCTATATATACATCATACTTTAGAGTTGATGTAGTGCTCCCCTATCATTTTTTTTACTCATTTCATTCTTTAACATTTACTTGTAGGTGAAAAAGTTCCTGGTAATGTCAGTTTATAGACGAGAAAACTATGATACCAAAGAAAAGGAAGTGATGGACTAAAAAATAATGTGGCATGTGATGGCCCAGCCTCTGCCCACTGTTTCCCAACTTTTTAAAGCTAAGAGAAAAGAACTTCTGGTGGAAGGTCCCACTCACATTGCTCAAAGGTTAGCAGTTTAACAAGGCAGCATATGGAGTGGTCAGACCACAGTCCTTACTTGTTTGGAACCTGGAACAGATGAAGGTCCTGGCCTCTTCCACAGAGTTTGCTGTGTCTGAGAGCAGGGCAGCTGGCTAGTTGGAAGCAGTTTGCTCAGTGTAGCCTTTGCTACCTTGCTTAAGGCTTCAAAGGCCTGAGAATTTGATCCCAAGCCAGGTAAGATACAGAACATGTAGTAATTTGCCAAATGTTTTAGCTCCAGGGAACATAGGCTTATTAAAGCACTTCCATATATGTCTCCTGAGAAAATTTCAAGTCATTCCTTTCTTCTGGGAGGTAGGTAAGGGTCTTGGTGGCCACCAGTGGCTCATGCCTGTAATCCTAGCTACTCTGAAGGCTGAGATCTAAGGATGACCTGGACAGGAAAGTCTGGGAGACTCTTATCTCCAATTAATTACCAAAAAGCTATAAGTAGAGCTGTGGCTCAAGTGATAGAATACTAGTCTGGAGGGAAAAATGAGCTCAGGGATAGTACCAAGCCAGAAGTTCAAGCCCCAGAACCACCTCTTCCCCCCACCTCCAAAAAAGAGAGTTTTTGCTTATCTCAGGTCAGCACATCATAGCAACTCCTGTAGTTTTCATCATAGCATTTGTTCATCCTCTTTTTCATGACCACACATTTCTGTTTGTTTTTTTATCAATGTTATATTATCCATTTCCTTTATAATAAAAACAGCCTTTTTCTGAAAGAAAGGCTAATACAGGGGGAAAGATAGCTGCAATGATCTGCTAATTCCATATCTACCTCTACCCAATTTCTTTTTCTGTACCACAGTGTTTATCATCTTGAGTAATAGCGGTGACGCTAGGTCCTGGAAGATGGCAGATATGCCCAATGGTGAACCCTGCGCTTCTCCACTGGAGCTATTCAACAGCATTGCTGCTCAAGGGGAGCTCGTGAGGAACCTGAAAGCTGGAAAGGCATCAAAAGTAGGTGATTTTGTTGGGCTCCCCAACACATCTGAGTCTTTTCCCTCAACAACAGAGGTAGTTGGTTATAATTTTCCATTATATTATCATCATGCCTGTGGTCAAACAAGCCATGGTTCTTAAATCTATTTGTAATACATTTGTCACTTGGTATCTGCAGAGAATTGGTTCCAGGACCCCCAAGAATACAAAAATTCATGGAGGCCCAAATGCCTATTTAAAATAGCATATTAGCCAAGTATGGTAATGCCTACCTTTAATCCCAGCACTCAGGAAGCTGAGGAAAGAGGAGGATGAGTTCTAGGCCACCTCAGCTACATAGTGAGACTCTGAAAAAGAGAGTAAAACCTACAAAAAACAAAAAGTAGTATTTATACATAGCTTATACACACCTTCCATGCCCAGTGTGTTGACTGCCCCTGCCTCTCCCTGCCTGAAGCCTCTGGACAGGATTGGCACTCTGAGCCAGAGCAGGGCCAGCTGAAAAACTGCTTCTGAACACCTGAACCAGCATTCCTTTTCTTTGTGAGTGTGTGTGTGGTGTGTGTGTGTGTGCGCGTGCATGTGCATGCATGCTTGTGCACACATGCATTCACCTTGAACTCGGCCTGGGAACTGTTCTTGAGCTTTTTAGCTCAAGTCTGGCACTCTTCCACTTGAGCCACAGCACTTCAGGCCTTTTGGTGATTAATTGTATAAGTGAGAGTCTCAGAGACTTTCCTGCCTGGTCTGGCTTCAAACCAGAATCCTCAGATCTCTGCCTCCTGAGTAGCTAGGATTATAGGAGTGAACCACCAGCTCCAGGCTCTGTCTCTCTGGTAGATTCCATCCTATTCAGATAATGACTCCCAGAGGCACTGGTGCCTGAACTTTAGCACCATCCCCAGAGTCATGCAGGTGTTACCAGGTCAGTGGGCTGCGATGCTCAAAGAAGAGCTCTCTAAGAAGGGGGAAAGCCTCTGCGCGGCCCTTGAGTATGAAATTTATGATGTTGTCACAAAGAATTTGAGAACACATCAAGGTTATTTTTTAATGGTTTATTACTAGGAAAGATAAAAAGATAATACACCACCCTGACCTGAGTATGGGCACATCTGATAACAGGTACAAGGAGTGCTTTATGCTAAAACTGTAAGATGGGATTTGGCTCAAATTCACCTTAAAAAACATGCTCACTTACCTTTGTTTTGTCACCTGGTATTGTTTTATCAGTTTGGCATGGAGACTTCAAGGCTGACCTGCTCACTAAACTCCTTTCAAACAAGGGTAGATTTTCCCACACTCCCTTTAGGACTGGTATGCATCCTTGAGATAATTATTTTTTAACACGTTTTGTGCCAACAGGAGTCATTTCCCAAAGTGGGTTTTCTTGGGTGGAGGCTCCCCCTCAAGATATGTTTTTTTCTTTAAGATATCCTTGCTCAGTCTCAGAGCATGCCAGTTAGCTGGCTAATGGACAAGGTCAGAACAAAGCAGATTTTTTTTTTCTTTTTACTAGGTGTCCCATTTTATGAGGGAGTGTAAGACTTGGAGCAAAAAAAAAAAAAAAAAATAGTACTTGTGTGCTTTTCATCATCAAGCAATTCATTAGTACAGTATTCGTCTGAATTCCTGGCTGCTTTGTCCTCTTACCTCCTCTCCCCAACTTGTCCTGCTTCATTACGTTGTTTTTTCTGATGTGCTCAGTCAGTCAGCATTATCTGTCAGCTTCCCAGCCTCTGAGTATTGTTGCTGTAGCCCTGTTCTTGTCTCTGTTTTCTTTGTCCTTGTGGGTAGTGTACCTTTTTGAAGGCTCTCTCTGATGTTGTGGGTTTTGGGAGCATAGGCTGTGTGCATCTGTAATGGGGAGCAGACGCTGCAGTTCTTTCTGGTCCTTTGTTCTCACCTGCTCCCCCAACACACACATGAGTATGCACACATACTTCTCTTCCTTCTGATTTGTGTGTGTGTGCACGTGCGCATGCACATACACGTGTGTGCATGCGTGCGCGCACACACACATGCACACCAGTCCTGGGGCTTGAACTCAGGGGCTTGAACACTGTCCTTGATAAAGTCTTCTTTCCTGTCAGTGGACAGGTCTAGCCTTCTCACATCCACCACAGTTGTTTACCCTGACTATTTGAACTCCAAATAAACCATTACATTTTAAAAGATAAATAGTACTGGAAGTGATGTCAAGACAAATTGTTTACAGAATATTACGAGAAGAGTGATTATTTACAGGCAGTGGCTCAGTGGATCAGGGTAAGTTTTCAAACAAAAATCTAAAGTAGGGGCTGGGAAGGTGGCTCAGTGGTAGAGTGCTTGCCTTGCATGCATGAGGCCCTGGGTTCGATTCCTCAGTACCACATAAGCAAAAAAGAAAAAACGCCGGAAGTGGCGCTGTGGCTCAAGTGGTAGAGCGCTAGCCTTGAGCTGAAGAGCTGAGGGACAGCGCCCAGGCCCAGAGTTCAGGCCCCTGACTGGACCCAAAAAAAAAAATCTAAAGTAAAGTTCCCAAATGTTGGTCCATTTTGGGAAGCTACTTTTGTCCATTTAATATTAACTGAATAACATTTAGCAAATGTTTTTAGTTAGAAATTCTTCTTTTGGCAGTACTGTTCCATTGTTTGAGCCATGCCTCCAGCCTCTTTTTGCTCTAGCTTTTTCTGTTGAGATGGGGTTTCAACAACTTTTTTTTTTTTTAATCAGTCATGGGGCTTGAACTCTGGGTGTGGGCACTCTCCCTCAGCTCTTCACCTCAAGGCAAGCGCTCTACTACTTGAGCCACAGTGCCACTTCCGATTTTTTGGTGGTTAATTGGAGATCAGAGTCTCACAGACTTTCCTGCATGGCTGGCTTTGAACTGTGATCCTTAGATCCTCCTGAGTAGCTAGGATTACAGGTGTGAGCAGCTGGCTCACAGCTGGCACCCAGCTCACCAACCTTTTTGCTGGGGCTGGAAGGCTTGAATCTTCCCAGTCACAACCTCCTGAGTAGCTAAAATTACAGATGAGCCACTGGCACTCTGATTAGTTAGTACTTCTTTACAATGATAACTATATTCATGGTGTTAGTCAAGGAACAGTTGCTTTCTGGACTTACCAGATAGCTTGGAATCGGAGGGGGAGTGACAGTGGCACAGGTGTAAATAGTACATAGCAGAACTAAGCAGTACTGGCTTACGGGTGGAGACACCATCCCTATGCAGAGGCACAGCAGTCACCTGCAGCCCCTAGAAGCCAGCCTCACACCCTGTCAGCCTCAGCCCTGATTTAGTAGGAAAATAATCTTGTTCAGAACTCCAGCTTTTCCTGGTCCATGTTAGATTGAAAACCAAACAAGGCCAGTCTGTTTATCTATCCCAGTCCTCTTCCTGATTACAGCTGGTCCTTGAACAGGGGGACATTGGTTAAACATTGACCTTTACGGGGCCTCCTAGTTGCAAGCAGAATTAGACAGATAGAGTATGATCTGTCAACACAGCTAGTGATGGAAAGATATTGACTTCTAGGTACTTCAAAGCAAAGCTAGTTTCCCCATAGATAATTCAATAGATTACAAGTGTGATCTATTGTATCTTGCTTAACATTTATTTTATTGCAAACACTGAGTCTAGGCACTGCAGAAACAAGATGAATAAGAGTATACCTGTCTAACATATAAAAACATCATCTCAACATATATTGTATCCTTGGGGTTATTGATTGCAAGTCAAACTTTTTTTTTTGGCTGTAATGAGATTTGAACTCAGGGCCTCATGCTTGCTTGCTAGGTGGTGTTTTGCCACTTGAGCCATGACTCTATCCTTGCTTTTCAATGGTTATTTTGGAGATAGAATCTAGCAAAATTTTCTGCACAGGCTAGCCTCAAACTGCAGTCTCTCAGATCTCAGCATCCTTAGTGGTTAGGAGTACAGTTGTGAGCTACCAGCTCCTGGCTTAAATTCATTCTGATGGCCAGTCCCAGAAATTTTACTATTTGAAGCACAGATAACCCAGAAGCACAGATCTCTGTGGCCCAGTGCTGTGCTTGATGGAACACTTCTCTGAATGAGGTTGGTGTTGTTGAAGTCTCCCCTGGAAAGCTCAGGCTATGGTTCATTCTCTAAACTCCTAAGTAGGAAAATGTTTATACTTCCCTTGACAAGCAAATTGCACTGTGTATATTTGAGATCTAATCTAGCAAGTCCAATTTTCAGACTGCAGCTTCAGGGTATAGCCTGACTAATCAGTTTAATTAGGCCTGCTCTTTTAAGCACCAAGCTTCTGGGTTGGCTGAAGTGTGTGTCTTTAATAGATTTCAGGAGAACCAAAGCATATATTTTATATTTACTGTGTTTATTTTAAAACAATTAAAATGCAAATACTTGAGATAAGCCAGGTGCCAGTATGCCTGTAATCCTATTTATTCTGGAGGCTGAAATCTGAGGATCACAGTTCAAAGCCAGCCCAGACAGAAAAGTCTCTGAGACTCTATCTCCAAGTAACCACCAGAATCCCAGAAGGAGAGCTGTGGTCCATGTGGTAGGATGCCAATCTTGAGCAGAAAGGGCTGAGACAGCATTCAGGACCTGAGTTCAAGCCCCTGTGTGCGCACAAGCGCACCCACACACTCACACACCTATTGAGATAGCTTGGTGTGACTGTGTCTCACTGGGTCACTCTTGGGGCCTCCACCTTCCCCTTGTCTTCCTTTGGGTTTTGTTGTTACTTGGTTGTTTTTTTTTTTCTTAAGTTTCTATAGATATTAGCCCAACCTTTGTGAGATTAAAAAAGACAACAGCCAGATGCTGGTGTCTCACAACTATAATCCTAGCTACTCAGGACGCAGAGATCTGAGGATTGTGGTTCAAAGCCAGCCTGGGCAGGAAAATCCATGAGACTGTAATCTCCAATTAACCACCAGAAACTGGAAGTGGTGCTTGTGGTTCAAAGTGATAGAGTGCTAGCCCTGAGCAAAAAGAGTTTAGGGACTGCACCCAGGCCCTCAGTTCAAGCTCCACAACCAACCAAAAAAAAAAAAAAAGTTCCAGTGTAGAATTAACAAACTCCATTAAACTCCATTGTGCCTATTCCCTGGCATTGGTGATATTTGAGAAGCCATTGGCCCAAGAACCTTGTAGACAGTGATATTCTGCATTATTACTGCTGTCCTATGGTGGCAATAATCCATAGCACTAGAATAACAAGTAAAGGCCAAGCGCCCCAAAGCCCTGACTCCCTGTATGTCCAAGGGCCACCTCCCTTGTCTCAAATTCCCCAACAGAAGGGATAGTCAATGGTGCTCCCTCTCAGCGCTGCTGTGAGACCACACTGGTGGTCTCTGGAAAGAGTCTGACACCAGTCAGCATCCGCAGACATTACCTGTGTGAGTTTCTTCTTCCTTCCTTCCTCCCATCCTCTCTCTCTTCCTCTTTTTCTTCTTTCTCTCCTCCTTTCTCTTTCTTTTCATTTCTTTCTCTTCTTTTCTGGTATCAAGGCTACAAGCTCTCAGCTTTTTCACTCACTGTTGGCACTCTCGTCTTCAGGATGAAATTGATTCTGCAGTGAAGATGTTGCTGTCATTAAAAATGAGCTACAAAGCCGCCATGGGGGAAGATTACAAGGCTGACTGCCCTCCAGGCAACAACCCATCGGCTGAAAGTAACAGTGGTCCAGATGCCACAGAAGCTGGAGAAGATTTTGTGGACCCCTGGACAGTACGGACAAGTAGTGCAAAAGGCATCGACTATGACAAGCTCATTGGTATGATTTTCTTCTCCAGGGCCAACCTAGACATTTAGAAGTGATTCCATTGAGTTGATTCCATCAATGTTTATAAATTTATGTGTTTCCATGTAATTTTCTTTATATTTTTAATTTCTATTTTTCATTGGCCTATGTTTTTTGGTTTTTGGTTTTTTTTTTTTGATCGTGGGGCTTGAGCTCTTCAAGGCTAGTCCTCTACCACTTGAGCCACAGCACCACTTCTGGTTTTCTGAGTGGTTTATTGGAGATAAAAGTCCCACACACTTTCTTGCCTGAGCTGGCTTTGGACCATTTCAGCCTCCTGAGTAGTTAGGATTGTGGGCATGAGCCAACATGCCCAGCTGGCCTATGATTTTTTTTTTTGGGGGGGAGGGGGGGTCCAGTCGTGGGGTCTGAACTCTGGGCCTGGGCGCTGTCCCTCAGCTCTTCAGCTCAAGGCTAGTGCTCTACCACTTGAACCACAGTGCCACTTCCGGCTTTTTTCTTTTTGCTTATGGGGTACTGAGGAATTGAACCCAGGGCCTCATACATGCAAGGCAAGCACTCTACCACTGATCCACCTTCCCAGCCCCAGGCCTATGATTTTTATATATACTTATGGGACAATATCTTTTTCTTTTCCTTTTTTTTTTTTGTCTATCTTGGGGCTTGAACTCAGGGCTGCTTTTGCTCAAGGCCAGCACTGTACCACTTGAGCCACAGCACCACTTCTGACATTTTTTGTTTATGTGGTACTGAGGAATCAAACCCAGGGCTTCATGCATGCTAGGCAAGCACTCTACCACTAAGCCACATTCCCAGCTGGATATTTTTTAATTTGAGCTTAATTATAAATGAAATGAAGTGTTGATGCCAGGGAAAAATTGATCCCCAAGCCCTTCAGTGTTGTCCATTGTATTTCCAAAAGATTATCTTAAAAGTAACAATTTCAAAATAGTAATATGTAGTAGGTAGCTTACCAAGCACTTACACACACACACACACACACACACACACACACACACACACACAATTTTAAGTCATTCAGAACTTGGGAAGAAGAGTCTAGTGAAGTAGGTATCTTTGCCATCGTGCCCTTCCTTGTTGTTTCCCTGTTTGTTCTGTTGAGAGGATACTCTGGGATCATAGATAATTGTCAGACAAGAAACAACTACAATGTTTTTATCTAACTCATGACCAGTATAGCCCATCAATGAGGAACAGTTTGCTTGAGGACAGACATGAACTTAGACCAAGGACTAAGAAGTGTGGGAAGTCACAGTTATCAGTGATACAAACTGTACCCAAGTGAACAGCTGTGTGTACATGTTTGCATGACTGTGGTTGTTTCTCACTACACCAGAATCCAGTCTTTATTCCATAATTTGCTCCATTTTACTGACTGCAATTCCACTTGTTGTTGTTGTTGTTGTTGTTGTTCTTGTTAGTTGTGGGGCTTGAACTCAGGGCCTGAGTGCCGTCCTTGAGCTTTTTTACTCAAGACTAGCCCTCTACCACTTTGAGTCACAGTTCTACTTCTCATTTTTGAGTGGTTACTTAGAAATAAAAGTCTCAGCTGGACGCTGGTGGCTCATGCCTGTAATCCTAGCTACACAGGAGGCTGAAATCCAAGGATCGAGGTTCAAAGCCAGCCTAGGCAGGTAAGTCTGTGAGACTCTTATCTCTAATTAATCACCAGAAAACCTAAAGTGGCACTGTGGCTCAGGGGGTAGAGCGCTTGCCGTGAGCTAAAGAGCTGAGGGACAGCACCCAGGCCCAGAGTTCAAGCCCCACGAACAACAACAACAAAAAAAAAAACTGCAGTCCTCAGATCTCAGCCTCCTGAGTAGCTAGGATTACAGATGTGAGCCACCAGCACCTGGTGGTGCTGAGCTTGAACTCAGAGCCTAGGCACTCTCCCTTAACTTCTTTGCTCAAGGCTAGCTCTACCACTTGAGCCACAACTCCACTTCCAGCTTTTTGCTCACAGACTTTTGCCTGGGCTAGCTTTTGAATCATGATCCTCAGAACTCAGCTTCCTGAGTGGCTAGGATTACAGATGCCACCAGAGCCCAGCACCAGCTGTTGTTTCAGTACAAAGAACTATGTACTTTGTGTGAGGGAGTGGATGACCATCAGCTAAAAGCCTGAAGAGAGGGGTCACTAAGATTGTACATGGACCACTTGTTTTTCTCCTTCATTTCTGTAATATCTGCTCACTAAGCCTCTTGCTGCCTTGTTTCGCTTTCCCCCTCCCTCCCCCAGTTCAGTTTGGCAGCAGTAAAATTGACAAGGAGCTGATAAACCGAATTGAGAGAGCCACGGGCCAGAGACCACACCACTTCCTGCGCAGAGGCATCTTCTTCTCACACAGGTTGGGACCCTACCTCTACTTTGAGTTCACAAAGTACATCTCTTCACACTGTCTGGTGTCATGGACAAAGTGCATCCAGACTGCTAGCAGCCTGGGACCCCATTCTGTGCTGTCAGTAACTCCTGAAGGGACTGACCCTTCACTGTCAGACCGGTTTCTATTCATTGGTTAACTACCCACCTCACAGAGCGGAGTGAGATTCAATTGTGGCTGATTGTATGCTGTAAATTACAAACTCTCATGAAAACAAAAAGTTCCGTATTTCTCATGCAATAAATAGTCAGCTTCCCGAAATTAAGTACCTTCTTCCTACTATTGTACTGGCCTGCTCTTGAATGATATCGAAAGAGAAAGCAGCAGGGCCATAAAGAACCCCTGCCTTCGAACAGAAATTCCACACAGAAAGCATCAAGGCCTGGACATTTTCCAAAAGAGTTTTGGCCTCTCCCACTTCCTGATTGTAGGGTTGGGTCAGGCTCTAGCCTTTGTTTATGGAATTTATGATCTGAGGTCAGATTGTTCTGTTCTGCGTGTTTATCATGGTCACAGGAGAGCACCCAGGACAGAATCCAGCTTTCTACCTGCAGAAAACTCTCAGTCCTGCTCAGTCGACTTCCTGGGCAGATTATAATCAGTCTTTTCCTTAACCGAGATTTAATTCATATATTATCAAATTCACTTGTTTTAAGTATACAGTTCTGTGATTTTTGGTTAGTTCATAAGGCGTATAGTCCTAATTTTAGAACATCTGCATTACCCCAAAAAACTCCTACTTAAAGATGGGCGCTGGTGGCTCACACCTGTTAATCCTAGCTACTCAGGAGGCTGAGATCTGAGGATCACGGTTCAAAGCCAGCCAAGGGCAGGAAAGTTCGTGAGACTCTTATTTCCAATAAACTGAAAAAGACCAGAAGTGCTGCTGTGGCTTAAGTGATAGAGCACTCGCCTTGAGCAAAAGAAGCTCAGAGACAAAGCCCAGGCCCAGTTCAAGCCCCAGGACCAGGAAAATGGGAAAAAACAAAACCTCTATCCCATTAGCAGTCATTTCCCATTTCCTCCCCTCCCAGCACCAGAAACCACCAGTGTGCCTTCTGTCTCTGGATTTGTCTGTTCTGGGAATTTCATAAAAACGGTCTGATAGGCCATCTGCCTTCTGTTTCTTTCCTTTTACTTCGCATGTTTTCAGGATTCCTCCTTGGGCTGGAAAGGTAGCTCAGTGGTAGAGGGCTTGCCTTGCATGCTTGAAGCCCTGGGTTTGATTCCTCAGCACCACATAAGCAGAAAAAGCCGGAAGTGGCACTGTGGCTCAAATGGTAGAGTGCTAGCCTTGAGCTGAAGAGCTGAGGGAGAGCACCCAGGCCCAGAGTTCAGTCCCCACGACCAACAACAACAACAACAAAAAAGATTCCTCCTTGTAGTATGAATTGGTGCAGATGCCCCTCAGCAGATGATGAGGTTCTATCTTAATAAATTCATTTTGTTGTGTGAGGGTGAGAGGATTTGAGACTGGGTCTCACTGTATAGCCCAGGCAGGCCTTGAACTCACAATCCTCCTTCCTCAGCCTTCTGAGTCCTAGGATTATGGCCTGTGCCACCATAACCACTTCTTGCTCTTTTCACTGTGGAAGTTTTTTGCATATTAGTTATTAGTGATCTTTTATTACTCTTTGGTTGTTAAAAGATCCATTCAGATTTGTTTCTTCTTGGTCGGTTTCTCTGGGAATGTTTGTGTTTCACCATGGTTCTCTGGTTCTCTATTTGTTGTCCTGCAGTGTTCCTAGTATTCTCGAGCCATCTTTTTACTCCTATGGGTCAGTAGCTGTGTCCTTTTTGATTATTTGTGTTACCCACTTATTGTGGCTAACAAGATTTGCCTTTCATTGATCTTAAGCAAAGCTTTTCTCCTGGCATTCTGCAATTCTCTCTCCCCTTGCACCTTTGTTTCCTTCTATGTCATAGTCCTGAGGGCTCTCAGATCAGGAAAGTAGAGGACTAGAGGCATTTGTGCATTCTCAACTTGAAAATGCCCTGAACCTCATGGAATACCTGGGAAACTGAGGGTTAAGTGAAGAGCATCCATAGTCTTAGCAGCCCAGATACCAGCCCTCTGTCCCATGGCTTCAGCACTGGAGGAGGCCCTGGTAGAACGTTGTTACCAGGTGTTCTTGCTCAGGCCTCTAAAAATGGTTGCTGTTCCTCTTTCTTTTTTCCCCAAGGATTTTTTTTTCTTTTGTCATAGGTCTTGAACTCAAGGCCTAGGCACCGTCTCTGTGCTTTTTCACTCAAGGCTAGCACTGTACCACTTTGAGCCATAGTGCCACTTCTGGTTTTCTAGTGGTTAATTAGAGATAAAAGTCCCACAGACTTTCCTACCTAGGCTAGCTAGCTTCAAGTCACAATCCTCTGATCTCAGCCTCCTGAGTAGCTAGGATTATAGGCATGAGCCACCAGCACCCAGCTTCTGTTCCTCTTATTTGGAACACTTTGTCCAGAAACAAAGAACATGTACACAAAGAGTATTGGTTGACCTCATAGCTCGCTAAGCAGAAGCCCTCAGGAAGCTCATTTAATGTTCAAATTCATCTGAGTGTGGTAGCACACACGCTCGCACTCATGCACACACACATGCACTAGGGAGGCTGAAATAGAAAGATTGAGAGCTCACAGCCAGCATAGGCTATATAGCAAAACCCTGCCTCAAAACAAAACCAAGCAAGATGTATATTCCCAAGTATCACCTCAGATTTCAGGATCTCCAGACAGAGGCCCAGCAGCTCTAATGCATACTGCTAACGCTTAGCCAACAAGAAGGACCTTTATGTGTTTCCCAAAGGAGGAAGGTGGACTCCCAAATGGCTCATAGATAAAGACCCCAAGTCTCAAGTTGGTTGAGGTCAGATACTCAGATGGGGACATGAATAGCCTTTCCTCCCCCAGCTCAGGCCTGCATGGAACCCTGTAGTTTCCTTTGCTGGGTTTCCAGAGCCTCAAGACTGGATTGTGTGTCCCTAACCTTCCTTCAGGAGGTGTACAAAATACACAGTAGAAATGCCCACATCAAAACTGGAGTGAGTTCCAGAGTCCCTGTGTCCGCCCAGCTTATATCGTCTTTTGGATCCTTTATTCCAAACTTGCATGTCTTATCTTTTTCAAACAACTCTTCCCAGCAAAAACCATTCCGGTAGTTTCCTGTCATTATTATACTGTAACACCAAAGATAACTAACTATAGCTATTAAAACTGTTTTGTCCCTGTTTTATTTTTCATTTCCAAATGAACTTTAGGACTGATTCCTTTTTCCCATTAGGGATATGAATCAAGTCCTTGATGCCTATGAAAATAAGAAGCCATTTTATCTGTACACGGGCAGGGGCCCCTCTTCTGAAGCAATGCATGTTGGTCATCTCATCCCATTTATTTTCACAAAGTAAGTATTGAATCTTTTGACTTTTGTCCATTTGCTAGTGAATCACCATTAGTACTTACAGGCTATCTTTTGAACATAGCTGGCCAAAAGAGGCTATTTCCTGTTTACCCAAGTGGCCAGGATGTCAGGACACTGACACTTTATGGCCTCTGTTTCTGAGACACTGCAGGAAAGTGGTGCATGATGGGAGATCACCGTGTTGGAGTCAGCCATGCCACCTTCCCCCTCCCTTGCCTGTTCAGGTGGTCCTCTACCACTATAGCTCTGAGGCTGATGTCACATGTGCTCAGTGGGAAGAGGGCTCCTACCTTGGAAAGTTAGGGAAAGGCTCTAAAGTAACGTTGTGAAATCAGCTGGCACATAATTGGTATGTGCTGGTAAATTTTATCACTATCCCCAGTCAGTTGTATTAGAATACATCATGTGATTTTGTAGGCAAGCAGTTAGTAGGATCTGCATCTTTACACAAAGTGGTATTCTTCCATATGATAAAGTGTCTATGTTCCTCCATCTTCCTGTGTTCCTTAGGTGGCCACTGGACACGTTCACAATGGCGAAAGGCATCGAGTTCACTATGGCTCAGCGTGCCATTTGTTTTGCCATGTTCTCTAGATGGCTGCAAGACATGCTCAATATGGCCACAGCATGGGCTCACTGTGCTATGTTCTCTTGTGTTCCTTAGGTGGCTGCAGGATGTATTCAATGTGCCCTTGGTTGTCCAGATGTCTGATGATGAGAAGTACCTGTGGAAGGACCTGACGCTGGACCAGGCATACAGCTACACCCTGGAGAATGCCAAGGACATCATCGCCTGTGGCTTTGATGTCAACAAAACTTTCATCTTTTCTGACCTGGAATATATGGGGTAAGGAGGAATAATGCCTGGCTGCCTTTTGTTTGTTTGTTTGTGGTTTTTTTGCCAGTCTTAGGGCTTGAACTCAGGGCCTGGGCACTGTCCCTGAATTTCATTTGTTTAAGGCTAGCACTCTACCACTTGGGCCACAACACCACTTCCAGCTTTTTCTGTTTATGTGGTACTGAGGAATTGAACCCAGGGCTTCATACATGCAAGGCAAGCACTCTACCACTAGGCCACATTCCCAGACCCCAGCTGCCTTTTAAAAAAATAGATGCAGACATCGTATCATCAGGACCTCAGTGAAATATAACATGTTCAGAATGGCAGTAAATACTTTTCTTCCTCTTTTAAACATTAAGATCTTGTTTATTGGTCTTATTTACCACTAATTTGGAAAGTGGAAATCTGAGTGCCTGCAGAGAAGCTGTTAAGTAACGCCAGACGCAGCTGCCTTTATCATTACACTGGCAGAAATATAAAATGTGTGCCTAGGCCCACCAGGTGGTATCTGATATGGTCTTCCTTCACTATTCAGGAATCCCTGTTGCCCGATTGTTTCTCTCCAGGATCAGGCAGTCCACAGATCTCTGCTGTCCTTTCACTCAGCATAACTTCCTCACAGAAGAAAGGTTCATATGCACAGTTCCATCACAGTCTAGTTTCTTAAATCAGCCACTTAATGCTCAACATATTTTATTCTGAAAAATCTATGAATTTAAGCTGCTCAGATCTTGAGATTCATCCAGAATTATTACTAACTAGTGTTTCAGTAAAATAAGACTTAGAACAGGCGTAGTGAGCAGCCTGCAACCCTATATAGAAGACAGAGATTGGGAACTGCACTTCAAAGCCAGCTCAGGCAAAAAGAGTTGTGAAGCTCTTATCTCAACCAATGGCTGAGTCCAGTGGGATTCACCTATCAACCCCAGCAACAGTAGGAAGCAGAAGTGAGAGGATCATAGCTCATGCTGGCCCGAGCATAAAGTGAGACCCTACCTAGGAGATAACCAACACAAAAAGCGCTGGTGAAGTGGCTCAGTGGTGATAGGGTGCCTGCATAGCAAGCTTGAAGTCCTGAGTTAATCCTCAGCATCACCAAAATAAAGGTAGAAAAATAAGACCTTGATCCAGGTATGGAGGCACACACTTGTCATTCCAGCTACTTGGGAGGCTAAAATCAAGAGGATTACAGGTTGAGGCTAGCCCTGGAGGAAAAAAAGTCAGCCACCGTGGCCATCCTGTAGGGCGGGGAGACCATCTGAGCCTAGCACACTCTTCTGTCCTCCCATGCACTCCACCAGCTGCCAGGCACACATGAGTGGGGTGGGAGCAACGCCCGGTCCTCTGCCAAAGCCCCGGAGACTCCTGCCCCTGCTGCTCTGGATGCTGCCCCACACAGCACCTGAGCGGGCGGATCTGCCCTTTCTATGCCAGCCCCAGCCTCTGCTTCTGGCTCTGTTCAAGTCTCATCCTAAGTCTCTTTCAGGTTGGCTACTATCTGCCTTTCCTGTTAGCTCCACAGATGTTTTGGCTGCTGCCAAAACCTACCTGCAGGTGGCTTCTTCACACCTTTTTTGTCATGGGGCTTGAACTCAGAGCTTGGGCCCTGTCCCTGAACTCTTGCTCATGGCTAGCACTCTCCCACTTTGAGCCACAGCTCCACTTCTGGTTTTCTGGCAATTAATTGAGATAAGAGTCTCATGCCCAGGCTGGCTTCAAATTGTGATCCTCAGATCTCAGCCTCCTGAGTAGCTAGGATTACAGGTGTGAGCCGCCGATGCTTAGCCACCATCCTTAAGATACAGGTGGGTGTCTGCCACTATGGCCTCGTGCCTCATCCCCATCCAGGTTTTGGGTTTTGGTGGTTTGTTTGTTGTTTATTTGCATGTGTGCTTGCTTGAAGTCATTTTTCAAATAGAGTCTTACATTTTTGTCTGGACTCAGACCATAATCCTCCTTCTTTTGTCTTACATTAGGATTACAAGTTCATACCACCACACTTAGTTTGTTAGTTCAGATGAGGTCTTGCTGACTTTTTTCCTAGGCTCACCTGAAACCACCAGTCCTCCCAATCTGCCTCTGAGTAGCTGGGATTACAGACTGGCACCATTGTGCCCAGCTCCATATCTGGTTTTCATAGCTGTTACCTTGTCCTCATAGAGGTCACCCTCTACCTAGAGTTTCTTGTCTCTATAGGCAGAGCCCAGGCTTCTATAAGAATGTGGTGAAGATTCAGAAGCACGTCACCTTCAACCAAGTGAAAGGCATTTTCGGCTTCACAGACAGCGACTGCATTGGTGAGGGCCAGCTGCTGCCTGGGGACCCCTCTCCAGCAAGATGAGCATGGGCTTGGGCCGCTTCCTGTGGAGCAGAGCAGAGAGCTGGGTAGTCATTGCCCCAGGTAGAACCCAGGGCCTCAGGAGTGTTTGGTAAGGGCTCTACCCCTGAGCCCCACCCCAGCTGAGTCTTTAAAGTACCTGTTCCCAAAAGTTGAGTTGTCTGGGAGAAGTTAGCATTTGCAGTGTACCTATTTAAATAAAAGTCCCAGAGAAGACTTTCCCCAGAATGTAAATGGTTAGTTAGAGTTGAGTCACGTCGGTTTTTGGAGAAAGAAGGAAAGGCTGAGGTAGAGTTTATTCACCTGCAGATGCTGCTCTGTCCCCTGGGGCTCAGTGGAGGGCAGGGAGCTCTGCTGCTCACTACTGGAGCTACCAAGTTTTTGCCTCCTAGACCCTCATCTCCCTACCTGTGAGCGAAGGCCTTGGCTGGCTGCCCTCCAAAGCCTTTCCCACCCCTCCTCACTTTCCTTCCAGACTTGCCTTCTGTGGCTCTGTCCTCACTGAAGCACACAGTGTTGAAGAGTGAGGTATTCATCTGCTGAGTGGACAAGTTTACATTCCCCTCCATACAAGACAGCTTGTAGGCTCTTACTTCCTTGAGGCTTACGTCTGGGCCTTTTTCTCTGTCTCTCTTCTCTTTGTGGCACTAGGGTTGAACTCAGGTCCTCATGCTTACTAGGCAGTTATTCTAACACTTGAGCCACTTTTGCTTTAATTATTTTATGAATAAGACTCGTGATTTTTCCCAGGCTGGCCTCAGACCATGATCTTAGACTTCCCATGTAGTAGAGGTGACAGGTATGTACCACCACACCCAGCTTATTGGTTGAGGTAGGTTCTCAATAATGTTTTTTGTCTAAACTGGCCTCAAACTGTGATCCTCCCAGACTCTACGTCCCAACTAATTAGGATCAGAGTTATGAGCCACTATGCCCAGCTATGGCTGGGCTTTCTGATCTTCTTTTCTCTCCTCTCCTGCTTTTCATCTGTGATTCAGTCAGATTCAATCTAGCAATTGGAACATAAACCCTGTGTCTTTGAAAGCATCTAGTTGGACCACATCACAGTGAGCTTCATTGAGGACAAGCCTGAGACCTGGGTTTGAATCCTGGTTCAGTCACTTGCCCGATGCATGCCAGGTTGTCAACATAATCTGAGCCTGACCGCACACGTTTGTACGTTTGGACATGGAGCTTCTCCCTAGAGCTGTGAGGAATAAAGAGCTCCGGGAAGCTCTTGAGTGCAGAGCTTCAGACCGAGAGTCTGGAAAAGGCCACCACTGCCCTGAACCTTCCACACTGGTGCTGGGGGCCTAGGCAGCTCCTGCCCGGTCTTGGCATAGTTGAGAATCCTAGAAACTAGATGTCTCTTCTGAAGTGGTACAAAACACTGTCAGAGAACAATACCCAATGATTGAGTTTAATGATGTTAACGGACTTCATTTTTTACTCTAGAATCAGGCAGTATTTCATTTCACAGTACAGGATGAATGTGCAGGTGATCAGATAAGAGGAGCTTAGTTTTATAGACGAAAGGGCTTCAAGGGATCAGAAACACACCTGTAATCTCAGCTACTTAGGAGGCAGAACTTGAAAGGATTAGAGTTCAAGGACAGTTGACAACCAATAGCTGTGCATGGTAGTGCATACCTGGGTATCCCAGATGCCCAGATAGATCAAAGTCTAGGCCATTCCAGGCATAAACAGGAGCTCTAACCCAAAAACAGCTAAAGCAAAAAGAACTGGTGGCACAACTGAAATGGTGTAGCACCGGCCTAGCAAGTGCAAGGGCCCAAGTTCTGCCTAGCTGCCTCAAAGCCCTGAGTTCAACCCCAGTCCCACCAGGAGGAAAAATCAGAAACAAGCTGAGTATGGCAGTGCTCTCCCATAACTGCAGCTATCCAGGAGGCACAGGCAGGAGGAGGGAGAATTTGAGGTCAGCCAGTGCCAAGTTAGTGAGCTTTTGTCTCAAAAATGAAATAAATAAAAAGGACAGGCGTATAGCTCAGGCGGCAAATACACCAAGCTCAAGACCCTGGGTTTAATCTGTATTGCTTTGAAAAAGAAGAAAAGGAATCTAAGGGGCTGGGAAGGTGGCTCAGTGGTAGAGCACTTGCCTTGCATGCATGAGGCCCTGGGTTCGATTCCTCAGCACCACATAAGCAAAAAGAAAAAAGCTGGAAGCCGGGCGCTGGTGGCTCACACCTGTAATCCTAGCTACTCAGGAGGCTGAGATCTGAGAATCGCGGTTCAAAGCCAGCCCGGGCAGGAGAGACCGTCAGACTCCTATCTCCAATAAACCACCAGAAAACCGGAAGTGGCACTGTAGCTCAAGTGGTAGAGCACTCGCCTTGAGCTGAAGAGCTGAGGGACAGCGCCCAGGCCCAGAGTTCAAGCCCCATGACCGACAAAAAAAAAAAAAGAGAAAAGCTGGAAGTGGCACTGTGGCTCAAGGGGTAGAGCGCTAGCCTTGAGCTGAAGAGCTGAGGGACAGCGCCCAGGCCCAGAGTTCAGGCCCCACGACCGGACCCAAAAAAAAAAAGGGGGGGGGGGGGGAACCTGAACAACAACAATAAAAAATCATTGTAGTTAGTGTCCTAATCGGACATAGTCTCCCTTGGGAGACTGAGGCAGGAGGATTCCAAATACAAAGCCAGCCTAGGCTACAGATGGAGTCCTGTCTCAAAAATAAAAAGCTCGAATACCCAGTCGGAACAGCTCAATAGCCAGAACTGATACATTGTTTAATGACAGCTTGGGAGGGGACTGGAATGTGGCCCACGTGTGAGGCTCTGAGTTCAAACCCTACTACCACCAAAACAAACAAGTGTGTAAATATTACCAAGTAAAAGGGCCAGAGAAATACCAGTTGTTCTTGTAGCCAAAGTACATAGAAGGAAATATAGAGAGCAAACACATACAAATCTGGGATCCTGATTTTATTTTTTTTTTTATTTTTTAATTTTTTACTTTTTTTTTTTTTTTTTTGCCAGTCCTGGAGTTTAAACTCAGGGTCTGGGCACTGTCCCTGAGGGTTTTTTTGCTCAAAGCTAGCACTCTACCACTGAGCCACAGTGCCACTTTCATCTTTTTCTCTTTATGTGGTACTGAGGAATCAAACCAAGCACTTTATGCATGCTAGGCAAGCACTCTACCACTAAGACACATTTCCAGCCCTGGACACCTGATTTTTCTCTCTGTATTTTCAGTTTTTCTCTAATATTCCTTTTGCAACAGGGAAAGACGTTTTCTTGCCCATTCTTTTCAGTGGGCTAATTATTTGAGAACAGCAGGTGGCCTTGTATGTGAAACCATTTTTCCTTCCTTTCAGGGAAGATCAGTTTTCCTGCGGTGCAGGCCGCTCCCTCCTTCAGCAACTCATTCCCCCAGATCTTCCGAGACCGGGCGGACATCCAGTGCCTCATCCCCTGTGCCATTGACCAGGTCTGGACTAGAACTGGGGCTGGCAACAGCTTTGCCGGACTCCATCAGTGAGGGAGAGGGGTGTAGTGCTGGAGGGAGAGGGGAACCTGAGAGTTTCCTCCAAAATCCTGTGGAGCCGCTCACTGGCCAAAGCGGCCCGGATTCAGTATCCTCATTTAGGCTCTCCTCCTCACAGGACCCTTACTTTAGGATGACAAGGGACGTCGCCCCCAGGATCAACTATCCTAAACCAGCCCTGCTGCATTCGACCTTCTTCCCAGCCCTGCAGGGCGCCCAGACCAAGATGAGTGCCAGCGACCCCAACTCTTCCATCTTCCTCACTGACACTGCCAAGCAGATCAAGACCAAGGTAAGCAGTCTTCACCCACAGGAGCAGATGTCTGTGTGGACACGTGTATGTGCCTATAAACACACACATTCACCAGTGCTCTGGTCCACAGCTAGCAGCCAGGTTCCCACACGGTGGATGAATTTGAGACCTGAGGTAGTAGACATGATTTATTTCACTGTTGATACTCCATTTTGTTAGGATAAAAATCTGAAGTTTTTATTTTCTTTTGTACCAACACTTTGTTTTGGAAGCAAAGCCCTGGCAGTTTCCTTAGTCATAATTAATGACGATGTGCTCAGGCAATAGAAATGCCTCAGCTCTCACTATGGTGCCTCATGCCTATAGTCCTCGCTACTCAGGAGGCTAAGAACTAGAGGATTACAGTTCAAAGCCAGCACAGGCAGAAGTCTGTGAGACTCCATTTCCAATTAACTAGCAATAATGGATTGGAGGCATGGCTCAAGTGATAAAATACCCACCATGAGTCAGTAGGCCAGTGAATATGAGGCCCTGCGTTTAAATTCTGGTAACAGCGCAAAAAAACCAACACTGAAAGGATTTGCTTGAGAACCAGATACCAGGTAAAGTACCTTGCTTGTGTTTTCTGTTCTTCATTCTTCCTCCTGGTACCTGGTGGTGCTATTGCCTCTGCTGTGAGGCTGAGGGGAATTATCATCTTGGCCTAGTTTGCACCAGTAACTCAGAGCGCATCTCTCTGGCAAGAGCAGCCCTTGCTGAGGCCAGGCCTCTGTTCTCCAGAGAGAACTGTCTTTTGGGGACAGCATGAGCCACCAGTGTCTGTGCACCCTGCTGAGTGTACCTCAGACACTTGGTAGATAATTGCAAGTCACTAGGAAAGCTAGACATAAAGATTAGCTTTTCTTTCATTATTTTTCAGGGCCTGCTCTGTGGTTAAGTGCTGAGCAGCTAGCGTACACGTAACTCTTAATGGTTGCATAAATCTGTATAACTACTGATGTCACCTTTGGCTCCTACTCTGTGTTTGTGCTTTGGAAGATTGCAGAAGGTGCCTCTGAGACAAGTAATAGAGCCATCTGAGAGTCACCACCCATCTCCAGCCCTTCTGGAAAGTCCCAAACAAGTTCTGGTTGACAATGGGGGCTTTTTATAACCCAGACCTTCAGAAAGTGGCCTCCACTGCTCTTCCCCTGGCTTGGGAGCTGGTGTAATCGGGGATTTTTCTTTCTCTTTCACTTTTGGCTGAACCTTCCAGAGCATGAAGTACTAGGGGAGAGGGACTTGCCAGCAGAGAAGTTGCTATATGTTTGAGAAGGTTTTTGTTCCTGTTTTGAGGTACTAGGATTTAAATTCCATGCCTCAAGCCTGCTCAGCTTGCTTGCTTAACAGACAGTCTACCATTCAAGCCACAAATGCCTGGATTGTTTTGTAAAGTTATCTATACCCCAGGAGCATTTGCTAGTACCAGCAGGAGCCTTGGAATTTCCAACTGACCAGCTATGAACCAGAATTCCTGCAGCCCCTTCTCAGGTTTGAACTCAGGGAAACCTGTTCATCTTCTTGCTGTGGAGAACAGCCAGGTAGAGAGGTGACCAGGGCAAAGCAGTGCATAGGCCGAACTCCATGCATTCTGTTTTTTGTTTTTTGGGGTTTTTTTTGTCAGTCTTCTTTGTCAGCCTGAACTCTGAGCCTGGGCACTGTCCCTCAGCTCTTCAGCTCAAGGCTAGCGCTCTACCACTTGAGCCACAGCGCCACTTCCGGCTTTTTCTGCTTATGTGGTGCTGAGGAATCGAGCCCAGAGCCTCATGCATGCAAGGCAAGCGCTCTACCACTGAGCCACCTTCCCAACCCTGCTCCATGCATTCTGGACAAGAACTTTTATGTTTAGAGTAGCAAAGAAACACAACCCACAGCCAGGCACCGGTGGCTCACACCTGTAATCCTAGCTACTCAGGAGGCGGAGATCTGAGGATCGTGGTTCAAAGCCAGCCCGGGCAGGAAAGTCCATGAGACTCTTTTTTTTTTGGTCGGTCATGGGGCCTGAACTTTGGGCCTGGGCGTTGTCCCTCAGCTCTTCAGCTCAAGGCGAGTACTCTACCACTTGAGCCACGGCACCACTTCCGGTTTTCTGGTGGTTTATTGGAGATAGGAGTCTCACGGTCTTTCCTGCCCGGGCTGGCTTTGAACCGAGATCCTCAGATCTCAGCCTCCTGAGTAGCTAGGATTACAGGCGTGAGCCACCAGCGCCTGGCTCCATGAGACTCTTATCTCCAATAAACCACTAGAAAACCGGAAGTAGTGCTGTGGCTCAAGTGGTAGAGCGCTCGCCTTGAGCTGAAGAGTGCAGGGACAGCGCTGAAGCCCAGAGATCAAGCCCCACGACTGACCAAAAAAAAAAAAAGAAAGAAAGAAACACAACCCACATCCAGGAGTTTGTTTTGTTTTGGACATTTTTCTAAGACAGTCTCTGCCAAAGAAGCCCAGATCAGCATGGAATTTGCTATCTTCATGTCTCAGCCTCCTGAATGCAAGGATTGTAGGCATGCACCACAGCACCCAGCTCCAGGAGTTTTTACTGACCTTTGTCTCCAGCTCCCCAACCCTCCTTAGGTAGTGAGTGAGGCAGGGTTTCCAGACCTCTACTCCTCTCATCACCTGGTCTTCCTGGTGACTGGCCCCACCCTGAGGCAGTGTAGGTGCCCCAACAGTTACCTCATTCATAGCAACTCAGGTGGGATCAAAAAGGCTGGAAAATGGTACCAGTGGCTCACACCTGTAATCCTAGCTGCGTAGGAGACTTAGGTATGAAGATTGTGGTTCAAAGCCAGCCCAAGCAGAAAAGTTCAAGAGACTCTTATATCTTAATTAACCAGCAAGGAGCCAGAACTGGAGATGTGGCTCATGAGGTATAGTGCCAGGTAAGAAAGAGTGCAGAGCTCTTGAGTTCAAGCCCCAGTGCTGGCACAAAACAAAAAGGGGGCTTGAAACAAGTCACTCCTACCACTCAGGAGGGTCCTCAGGTCTAAGGAACTCTGTACTAGACAAAATATTCGGACAAAGCTTCCCATCTCTCAGAAAGACACCTGGGCTGTCAGGCATTGTGTAGGGAATGGGAAGTCACGCTGGCTTCACCACCTAGAGACAGGGCTTGCATGAGCTTAAGGTTTTAGTTTGGAAAGTGACAGGTAGGCAGTGTGCACTGCAAGCTGAAATGCTCCTCTTCTGGGCTGTCACGTGGGGCCTTCCATGGCAGTGGTTTTAAAGGCAGAGCCCCCTTTTCTGCAAAACATATGTTGCTCACTTCTGATGACTGTCCTCTCCCAGAGGGTCAGGAGTCCAGGCTGGCTCCCCTGTCTAGACACACAGACACTTAGATTTGGGTGTGTGTCTCCCTCGTCTACCATCTTTGTTCCTGCTAGCATCATTCTGAATCCCAGCACCTAGCCTGCTCCACCCATCTGCCCCAAGCCCATTTCCCCTCTGTTTCCTGTGAGTCAGGCCCTCAGTCCCCACCAGCACCCATGGCTCTCTAGCACCACCAGGAGCCTGGAAGGTAACACTCATAGCTTTTGTGTATGTGTACATGTGTGCTAAGGCTTGAACTTGGGGCCTCGGCACCGTCCCTAAACTTTTGTGCTCAAGACTAGTGCTCTACCACTTTGATGCACAGCAACATTCCCAACTTTTTGGTAATTAATTGGAGGTAAGAATCTCACAGAGCCTAATTGGAGATAAGAATTTCACAGATCCGGGTGCCAGTGGCTCATGCCTGTAATTCTAGCTACTCGGGAGGCTGAGATCTGAGGATCGCAGTTCAAAGCCAGCCCAGGCAGAAAAGTCTGTGAGACTCTGGGCCTGGGTGCTGTCCCTCAGCTCAAATCTTTTATTTTTTTTTGGTCCAGTCTTGGAGTCTGAACTCTGGGCCTGGGCGCTGTCCCTCTGCTCTTCAGCTCAAGGCTAGCGCTCTACCACTTGAGCCACAGCGCCACTTCCGGCTTTTTTTCTTTTTGCATTTTATGGTGCTGAGGAATCGAACCCAGGGCTTCAGGCATGCAAGGCAATGCTCTACCACTGAGCCACCTTCCCAGCTCAGCTCAAATCTTAGTGCTCTACCACTTGAGCCACAGCACCACTTCCGGCTTTATCTGCTTATGTGGTGCTGAGGAATTGAAATCAGGGCCTCATGCATTCAGGGCAAGAACTCTACCACTGAGCTACCTTCCCAGCCCCAAGTCTGTGAGACTCTTATCTCCAATAAACCACCAGAAAATTGGAAGCGGTGCTATAGCTCAAGTAGTAGAGCACTAGCCTTGAGCTGAACAGCTGAGGGACACCACCCAGGCCCAGAGGTCAAGCCCCACGACCAACCAAAAAAAAAAATCTCACAGAGTTTCCTGCCCAGGTTGGCTTTGAACCGCATCTGTGATCTCAGCCTCCTTTGTAGCTAGGATTATAGGTGTGAGTCACTGGGGCCCAACTCATGGCTCTTTAGCTCTACCAGGAGCCAGGAGGGCAGGGAGTGCCACCACTCCCTCCACATATAACAGGCTCTTGACACACTGTGCCTTACTCACTTTACTGGTAGGGAGAAAGCAAAGTATGGGGCTCAGGGTTGATGGGGATAAGATGTTTGTCATGGCTGTGCTGCATGGGGCTCCAGGGGCAGGCACTCTGTGCTGTGCGGCCATGGCCGCCTCCCTCACATCTGGCACCATGCTGTAGACTTTGGTCCTGGCGCCTTGTTTCATGGTACCAAATAATCCTCGGGCCTCACCATTCTAGGCAGGCCAGGCACTCTACCACTGAGCCACACTCTGGCCCCCTTTGGCATCCTAGAGCCTGCACCACATCCTTAGTCTTCCCTAACATGGTGCCTTTCTCACATTCCAGCACTGATTTCTTTTTTAGGGGTTGCTGGGGATTGAACCTACAGCCTCTGCCTTAGCTTTGTTCTTAATTAAGGATAGTGAAGCAAACTTTCACTGTAGCCTTCCATCTTTAAGACCCACCACCACTCCCAGCCACGCTTTACCCACAGCTCAGCTTCAGCTCCCTGACTCATGGGTTAGTAGTACCCCAGAAAGGGAGCAGGGCCTTCAGCAAAGTCCTGAAGACTTTGCCCCTAGCGCTCATCTGCTGTGCCAAGAAGAGCGGAGGTGGTCACTTAGTAAACCACTCTGGGAGCTTTTTGGAAAACTTGCCAAGTAACTCAGAATGAACGAGTGTGAACACTACCTGCCCTTTCCTCCACTGAAAAACAAAATAGAAACAGGATGATATTTTTAAGTACTAGGTTGGCTTAATTTCTCCCAGGAACCATTCTTCGATGTTTCCTAAAACACATTTCGTTAGTTCTGGACTTGGGCTTTTTGTGTGTGTGTGTGCTAGTACTAGAACTCAAACTCAAGACCAGGGCACTGACCCTTAGCTTTTTCACTCAAAGCTCTACCACTTGAGCCACACCTCCACCTCCAGCTTTTTGCTGGTTAGAGATAAAAAGTCTCTTGGATTTGTGTGCCCAGGCTGTCTTGGCACATTGATCCTCAGATCTTAGCCTCCTGAGTAGCTAGGCTTATAGACGTAATCCATCAGCCTCGGGTTTCTTACTTCTTATTTTGTCTGTTTTGAGACATGGGCTGGTCTGGAACTCCTAGGCTCACCTTCCTGAGTGCTAGGACCAGAGGTGTGTGGCTTCCTTGCCAGGCTCTACTGTGTTGGTTTCTGAGTTTTCTTCAGCCCCTGAAGCTTGCCTGTTTTGAAGTAGATACCTTCCCTTCCTGCCTCCTCCTACTGGCTAAGCTCTGCTCCCTTCACTAGCCATGTTCTCAGGACTGTGTTGAGGCTGGGTGATTAGCCACTCTCTTTGCTCAACACTCTCCTGAAGGGTGCCTGTGGCTCACCCTTTTCATGAAGTTCATTATAGGAACGTTTCCGATGGTTCCTTAAATCTCTGCCCAGTCAGTGTTAGGTTTTAAATTGTCTGCCTATCCTAGCTGGTCAGGAGGCTCAGATCTGAGTGTTTCAGTTCCAAGCCAGCCTGGGCAGGAAAGTCTGTGAGACTCTTATCTCTACTTAAGAACCAAAAAGCTGGAAGTGGAGTTATCTCTCAAGTGGTAGAATGCTAGCTTTGAGCAAAAAACCCTCAAGGACAGTGTCTAAGCCCTGAGTTCAAGACCCAGGACTGACACACACACAAATACACACCAAAAAACCCCAAAAACCCTCTCCTCCTTTAAGGGGCATGGAGGCCAATCTTCCCTCCTCCCAGGCCCCTACTGCCATGCCATGAGCCCTGCTGCTGTTTGACAGACCAGGCCTGGTGGAGGAAACAGTTGAGGCCCCCTACCAACTGCATCCTCTACATCTGCCCCTGAACCTAAGATGTCCGCATGGAGATCCTGGCCACCAGCCTCCAGGTGCACGAAGCAGGACTGATGAGTCTGTCTGCGCTGTACAGGTCAACAAGCATGCATTTTCCGGAGGAAGAGACACCGTGGAGGAACACAGGCAGTTTGGGGGCAATTGTGACGTGGATGTGTCTTTCATGTACCTGACCTTCTTCCTGGAGGATGACGACAAACTGGAACAGATCAGAAAGGTGAGGTGGGATCCTGGGCCTGGCCCTGGGCCTTTCATGTTGACTCAGCTTCTCAGTTGCTGCCTTCAAGACCAGGCATCCAGCTGAAGGAGGGTGAAAGAGCAGGAGGAGCTGGGCATGGTGGTGAGAGCCTGTGCCCCCAGCTTCTTAGGAGGCTGAGACAGGAGGATTGACTGAGCCCAGGGGTTCAAGGCTAGCCTGGGTAGTATGTTGAGACCTTGCCTCAAAAAATTTTTTAATAAAACTCAGTTGACGCACTTACATTTTTCAAACATGGGCCAAGAATCCCATGAAGAGATAGTTCACAGACATACAAACTGCTATTTATTAACAAAATAAAAAGGTTTCAGCAAGGCACCTCATGCCCATAACCTTAGCTACTCAGGAGACTGAAATCTGAGGTCCACGGTTTGTAGCCAGCCGAGGCAGAAAAATCCATGAGACTTTATCTCCAGTTAACCTGCAAAATGCCAGAAGTGGAGGTGTGGCTGAAGTGGTAGAGCACTAGTCTTAAGCAAAAAAGCTCAGGGACGGCACCCAATACCATGGGTTCAAGCCTCAGGACCGGCACCAAAAACTGAGTAGGAGTTCATCTTATACATTAAAGGAGAAATGTAAGTTAAAGACACCAGCAGAGCTGGCGCAGCCCATGTTGCACTGGCTGTGCCTTGCTCTGGTGACTGAGCCAAATGCTTCCAGCACCCACATAATGAGCAGCCTCCTGCCAATGGAACAAAGGCTGAGACGGTTCAGGGCCATCGCCTCAGGCTTTCCCCTGCTTAGAATCTTCTAAACAGTCACAATAAGAAATAACACAGAATAAGAAAAGGCCACAACCTATCCAAAAAAAAAAGAAAAAAACCTCATAAGAAGCATTTGAAGCAGTAATAGCAAAAAGTTCAGACAGACTGCAACCGAATAGAATTCTGATGGGCAGTGCGGGTACAGTGTTGTGCTACTGTAATTCTAGCACTTGGGAGGCAGGGGTGGGAGGAGCACAAGGTCCAGGCCAGCCTGGGCTGCGTGGTAAAACCCTGTTTCAAAAAAAGAACTGCAGCTCCAGCAGGGTGCTGGTGGCTCATGCCTATAATCCTAATTACTCAGGAAGCTGAGATCTGAGGGTCATGGTTCAAAGCCAGCCTGGGCAGGAAAATCCCTGAGACCCTTATGTCCAGGGCAGGCCACAGCTACTGGGCAGAGCCAACTCCTGACCATTTTAAAAAACATGTCATTGGGGCTGGGAAGGTGGCTCAGTGGTAGAGCACTTGCCTTGCATGCATGAGGCCCTGGGTTCGATTCCTCAGCACCACATAAGCAGGAAAAAAAAAGCCAGAAGTGGTTCTATGGCTGAAGTGGTAGAGCACTAGCCTTGAGCTGAAGAGCTGAGGGACAGCGCCCAGGCCCAGAGTTCAGGCCCCACAACCAGACCAAAAAAAAAAGACATGAAACATGTCATTTAAGGAACAGAAGCAATGACAGTAGCCCAGACTGTCTGGGGAGGGTGTGGCAGGGCCATAGAGCAGCCTCTCATGGCCTCCCACTCCTTCAAACAGGATTACACCAGTGGAGCCATGCTCACCGGCGAGCTCAAGAAGACGCTGATAGATGTCCTGCAGCCCCTCATCGCTGAGCACCAGGCCCGGCGCAAGGAGGTCACCGACGAGATGGTGAAAGAGTTCATGACGCCCCGGCAGCTGTCCTTCCATTTTCAGTAACACTTACTTTCTGTTTGCATATCACTATGCGTAATTCCTCTGTAATCCCAGCCCCACTGAATCACACTCCCGTAGGCTTCTGTCACGCAGTAATTGCTGGGCTGGGTCTGTGAGCCCATGTGTGTCCTGGATTCTGTTTGTCCCAATGATGTCTGTTTTTCCTGACTGTGAGCAAGCGCTGGGGGTGATCAGGTGCTTCTGGCATTGTGTGGTCAGATAGAAAACCCAGCTGTGAGTCTCTCCCACCAAGAGCCCAGGCTGAAGCCTCTGTGGCCCACAAAGCCTATTTACCTGGGATCAGCCTAGGTTCCAGATAGACTCCCAACATCTACTCTGTAGAGAGATGTGTTCTAAGCCGGATGTGGTGGTTCGTGTCTATAATCCCAGCAGGAGACTGACTAGAAGATCAAGAGTTCCAGGCCAGCCTGGGCTCCCTAATAAAGTATTCTATATATGCATACATGGAACCAAAATGTCATTGTTGTAAAACTTAAAAGTGAAAAATTCATGTCAGAAAGCTTAATAAGCAAACAGTGAGTTTCATCTCATGCACCCCCCAAAAATAAAATCAAATAGAATTGATAGCTTCTGCTTTATACTTGGCAAGAAACTACCTTGCTTTGGGCAGATACTTAGCACGTCTAAGGTTCTGGCTTCCATCCCCAGCATCACAAAGAAAAGACACCACCCGGCATCAACACTACTAGCCTGAGTCTTGTGGGGGAGACTTTCCAGTTGACTTAACACTCTAGGAATCTCTCTCGTGGCCCTTCGCATACTAACTTCCCGCCAGACCCCGCCCTTCATGTCCAATCAACCTAATGGCGCCCTCCCACTCCAGCCTCTGAGTCGCTAAGGACACTCCGTTGCTTTTGCAGATCCTTTTGTTTTGACCCTTGACTGAAGTGGAAGTCAGCACAGAGCAGTGCCCTGGTCTCGCCCTGGGCTGGTGGCTGTAGCTAGAGAGAAAAGCTCAGGTGGAGCCCTCCCCGCCCTGGCGTTTTCCCTGTGGGTGGGCCACGTCTAATCACGGGCCACGTGTAGTCTTGACCAAGCAGAAGCCATATCTCAGGGAAAGCCCCTGATCAAATTGACCGCTCTCTGAAGGCACAGGGTCCATTCTCAAGTGCTCTTCCCTCATGCTGCTGACGGGCAGAATAAACTTCTGTGCTCCTGTCCGTGTGGCAGTGTCTGGGAAAGGCTGACCTGCTTGTGGTGGCCTTGCTGCGCCAGCCTGTGCTACGCCTGCTCCCCTCTGGACCACGTGGGGAGGGAGAGACACGCGGGTGGCCCCACAGCTCGGAGGCTCCCAGGAGCCTGTTCTTTCAGGCTTGGCCCAAGTCCTTACCAGTCTCCTGGTGCTGGCTGTCTGGCTCAGTGGTTGTCTGGGGTTGTCTGGTTTTCAGGGGAGAGAGCCAGGTGTTCAGAGGTGCTGTGTGGCAAAGCACCCAGGCACCAAGGCACACAGGGCTGGGCCCAGCTGCAGGAGCAGGTGGGAGCTGACAGCTGAGGCCTCTGGAGCACAACCAGTCCAAGGCCTCTCGGTGACAGGATCATCAGTCCTCAATCTTAGGTGCGAAACCAAGTTCCCATCCTCAGATGGCCGGACTTCTGGTGCCCACTCCCCCCTGCCCTCCCCTGGGCCTGTCCACTCACTGGCTGGTTGTGAAGAATCACCCACACCAGAGGCCTTGCTCAATGCCACTTGGCCCTGCCCAACTGATGTTTCTTGTAGTTCCACTAAGCCCAGGTCACGAGTGCAGAAGTGCAGCACCAGTCCCCATGGCAGCAGATGCAGTCAGCATTCCCCACCCAGCCACCGCATCTGTGGGCAGCGCCTCAGCCTTTGCAAGAGAAGCCTCCATCTCCTCACAGGAAAGGCGAGCAGTGGTCTCATGACCAGGTCCTAGGAACAGGGTCCGAGGCCACTAGGCAGGAGACTCACCCATAGCCAGTGCCTGCCTGGGCAGAAGAGGGCTGCAGGGCTCTACACCACCACCACATTCTGCTGAAAATCAGTGGTTTCTTTGTTTTTTTGGTTGGTTGTGGGGCCTGAACTCAGGGCCTGGGTACTGTCTCTCAGCTCTTCAGCTCAAGGCTAGTGCTCTACCACTTGAGCCACAGCGCCACTTCCAGCTTTTTTTCTGCTTATGTGGTGCTGAGGAATCGAACCCAGGGCATCGTGCATGCAAGGCAAGCACTCTACCACTGAGCCACCTTCCCAGCCCATCAGTGGTTTCTTGAAGCTTCCTGAGAGAATCCACCCATCTGGGATGATGAAAGGTTCGGCCAGCTACTGGGGTGCAGGTCAAGATCATTCAGAAAAGCGGCCTTCCTTGCTCTGACAGATATCACCTGTCCCACAGGGGCTGGGCAGCTTGGGGACAGCTCATCATCTAAGACAGCACTGAAGCAGTGACTCAGGCCCGCTCCAAGCCCCAGCCCATAACTGCATTGTGAGACAGCCCTGGGCTACACTGCCTGCCCTTGCTCTGGCCTCTGATTCTGCGGCCTTGACTTTGTAGAGGCAGCCCTATGGGAAGACACAGCACTGCCCCCTTTTGAGATTCTGAGCCCGCCAGCCCCTCCCAGATCCTTCACTTCCTCTTGAGTGGGGGCAGAAGCAGGCACCAGTGTCTCATGCCTATAATCCTAGCTATTCAGAAAGCAGAGACCTGAGGATGGTAGTTCAGAGCCAGCCTGGGCAGAGAAATTTGTGAGACTCTTATTTCCAGTTAGCTACCAAAACACCAGACGACTAGCCGTGGCACAAGTGGTAGAGCACCACTCTGGAGCTTAAAAGCTAAGGGACTACATCCAGGCCCTGAATCCAGCCCCAGTGCTAGCAAACCCACACAAAAGCCCTAGTACTAGGAAACACACACACACACACACCAGGAAAGAGTGGGAGCTAGTACTTAACACTGGAGTGTATAGAGAAAGTACAGGGTCCATTCCGGAAAGTTTGTGACAGCCCGGGGCTGGGCTGGGTGGACCAGCTGCTCAGCAGTGCAGGTTCAGGAGTTGAATCACCACCACCATCACCCCACTGTGGCCAAGAGTACAGCCAGTACCTCTCTTCCCAAAGTTAAAACAAGTGGCCTTGACCAATGTGGTCACAGCTCAGCACTGATACATTACTGAAACCTTTTAATAGCTAGTGCTCTCCTCCCAGCTATTGGGCCAGGGCATCCCACAGTCTTGAACTCTGGGATAAACCTGGCGAATTCAAGCTTAAAAACTAAAAGAAACAGGGCACCAATGGCCTTACACCCGTGATCCTAGCTACTCAGGAGGCTGAAATGTGAGGAACACAGTTGGAAACCAGCCCAGGCTAGAAAGTCTGTGAGATTTTTGTCTCCAATTAACCATCAAAAAGCCACATGTAGCTGGGTGCCAGTGGCTCATGCCTGTAATCTTAGCTACTCAAGAGGCTGTGATCTGAGGATCACAGTTCAAAGCCAGCCTGGTCAGCAAAGTCCTTAATTCTCTTATCTCCAATTAACCACCCAAAAGAAAAAAGCCTTTACATGTCTTCTGCCCCTTCCGCTGGACTGTGACCCTGGAAGACAAGGCCAAGGCTGGCATCTGAGCAAGCGTAGTAAACACAGGCATCAGCCAGCTCCAGCAGAGGACTATTGTGTGCTGACCCTGTGGGCACACACTGGACTTGCCAGCCCTGGCCCTGACAGCCTATCCCTGGAGGTCACATGATCCAGGGAGAGGGCCTTGTCAGAAGCACAACCAGCCCCAGCTGCCCCTCGCCGTGCATGGCATGCCCACAGGCAGCTGGCTCCCCAGTCCACGCTGTTAGCTCACACAACCCATCTGGGGCCCAGCCCCCCTCACCTACAGCCTTCCAGGGGTTTTGTGTGGGTGTGGTGAACAGCAGGTCACAGGCAGGGTTCCCGTGGCCTGGGAGGCCAGGGGAATGGACCCAGCCAAGGCCGTGGTGCACCACTTGTACAGTAGAGACACTGGCTAGGGCTTGTCCACCAGGAAGGGAGCTGCAGGCCCGTGGCCCACGCATCCCATGGTGACTGGGCAGGCGCACAGGCGGATAGATTGGCAGCCCACACATGGCAGACAACACCACTGAGCACCATCAAACATTTTATTGACAACAGCTCCCACCAAGTTTTGGGGGGTGCCCACGTGGGACAGCGTATACTCAGGGAGAGTGAGGATATAAGCAGCCAGCAGGAATGGGGGTCCTGCCCCCACCCCCACTACCACAGGACTGAAGCTCAAGGTAGGAGCACCATCCTGGCAGTGAAGAAGCCAGGCCTGGAACAGATGCCTCAGCCTCTTGTGACCCATGACCTTGCAGACAGCCAGGCAGCCCTGGACCTTCTGGTCAGTAGCTGGACAGAACTCGCTCGGGCCTCAGCTGAGTCAGTGCAGGGAGACCCACTGTCCAGTGCCAGCCCTGTGGGGTCTCTACCCCGTCCACACGGTCCTTTGCCTCCTCTGGAAGCTGCTGGCAGGTCGCCACCTGCCCTTAAGTGAGCAGGCCCCGCGTGAGCCTCAGCACAGCCTCGTAGGCAACGAACACCACCATGTTGACAGGAAAGGCGCGGCAGCAGTTGAGTGTCAACCCCTTGAAGAGCACCCTGGGCCCCTCCTCCCGCACGCTGCTCACCACACAGTGCCAGAGGCCTCGGTAGCGCTGCTGGCCCTGCCCGTCTGCCTGCAGGCGTGACTTGATCACGTCCATGGGGGTGGCCACGGCCCAGGCCAGGACCCCTGCAAAGCCTCCAGCCACCAACACACCCAAGACATCTGCAGGAGAGACAACACAGCCTGAGTGTGAGCACAACCGGCCCACGCAGTCTACAAGAGGGGAAACTGAGGCTTCAGGGAGGGGATCATGGTAGCAGATCCTCTCAGCCTCATCCACCTTCCAGCTCAGACTCACCTGGCTCACTGCGGCCAGCGGGGGTGAGCCACTCGGAGAGGATGGCATAGGAGAGGAAGTAGGTGGCGAAGGAGTGGCCTTCCCGAAGAAGCAGGGCCGAGCTGCCTTTGTAAAGGCCCCGGAGGCCCTCCTCACGGGCCACTGTGGCTAGGCAGTGCAGTGGCCCATGGTACTTGGGCCCAGACACCAGACATGCCGGGGGTGCAGGACACACAGGGGGAGCTGCTGAGGGCCACAAGGCCGAAGGCCGCCGCTGCTGGGGCTGCGTCTGCGTCTGAGTCTGCAGGCGGATCTTAGCCACCTCAGTGGGTGATGTCAGGAACACCTGCGGCACAGAAGAGGCAGCATGAGACCTGGCGGGCAGCTAGCTCCCCCGCACTGCCACACCTGGCCTCCCATCGCCTTGTGCCATCCAAGCCAAGATGCTACAGGGCAGCCCTAGGATGTGGTGGCACAGAGTTCAAAGCCAGCTTTGCTATCCCAAGGTTAATGCCAGTGCCTTCAACAATCATGTCTCCTGTCTCAGAAAACTGCATGACACGTCCTCTGTGACTTAGATCAAGGTACCTCACACCTACAATCCTAGCTACTTAGGAGGCGGAGATCTAAGGATCCCAGTTCAAAGCCAGCCTAAGCAGGAAAGTCCGTGAGACTCATCTCCAATTAATCACAAAAAGTCAGAAATGGAGCTGTGGCTCAAGTGGTAGAGCAGTAGCTTTGAGCAAAAAGAAACTCAGGGACAGTACCCAGGCTCAGAGTTCAAGCCCCAAGAGTGAACAAAGCTAGTAAGTTCAAGCCCCAGAACCATCTTGTTTTTTAAATGTAATATAATTATTAGTAACATATTGCTAATAGCATCAGTTGTCCTTTTGTGGTTGTACATTACATGTCAGGCTTTGTGATGGGGTCTTTAACCTCTTAATCTCACTTAATCTAGTACAGTTGAAGAGACAAAAGCTCAGAAACACTCTCTAGCAAGGTGAAGGGCACTCAACCAGCAAGAGTCAGAACTGAGGCTTGAGCCTCTCAGGTGGAAGGCCCACAGGGACAGGCCATTACCCTCTATGCTATGAGGGGCAGGGATGTCACTGGGCCTGGGGCAGCCATGCGGCTGTCCAAACAGCTCTGTTTAGGACTCATGCCTTGGTTCACCTCTCCCCATCAAGTGGGAGCTCCAGGAAGGCAGGTGTCCGCTGCCTTGGTCTCTTCTACCCCTGTCTGCTGGCCAGGGCACTTGAGGATGAAGGGATGCTCAGTTTCCATGGTAACATGGATGGTATTCAGCCATCTTGATACCCTTGCTAGAGATGTGGTCTGTGAGCCAGTGGGAAACCCAGGCACCTGAGCTCCACAGGCCCTGGGGTCCCCATTCTCTAACAGGGAGGGTCCCTTGAGTTACTGCACCCACCTCCCCTCAGGACCATGCTGGGGACATGGGGGACCCCCCCAGCTCTGTGTGTGCCCCATCAGCAGGACACTGGCTCCACCAGGTTCTGCCCTCAGCAACCTCAGTTTCCTAGCTGCTGGGCAGGGGATTCAGACACACACACACCTCCCAGTCTCTCTGAGGTCCTCCCCGGCCTCATCTTCCTACTCACCCGGACAAGGCCAGAGGCGCATCCCGAGAGCATGATGTCGGCCTTGGCAGGCTTGACGTCCGTGCTGCCATACCGGAAGCGGCAGATGTGCGCCAGGCAATGGTGGTAGGTGCCGAAAGACACAGACGAAACCAGGGACACGGTGCACACGGGCAGTGAGAGGCCCCGGTAGAAGCCCCACACCTGGGGGACAGGGCCCACGTCAGGGGATGGGAACCCCACCGGGGAGGCCACCCTGGGCCCCGAGGGCTGAGGCCATCCCAGCCAGCCCGCTGGCCCTGACACCCCCCATAAGTGGGATTCACTGCGCTCAATTTGTGAAGTCGGGGGAGGGTCAGGCTGCCAGGGCAGCCATGTGCGATGACCTAGCGTGCGCCAGGAGTGCTGGTTTTCATAAGCTAACCGTGGCTTGGGTCAGCTCACGCTGTCAGATGTCCCCAGTGCCCACTCTGGACAGGCCTCTGAGTTTGTGGCCCTGATGACCCAGGGCTGGCAGGGCACAGAAAGGAACGCCCACGCACCTCTCCCGCCTGCAGGAAGCCTGGTGGTACTCCCAGACTCTCTCCTGCCCCCCTGATCGCCAGATGCCAGTTCTGATCCCCAGAGGGAGCCTGAAGATGGGCATGGGGTTCCCTTTGATGAGAACAAACAGAGGCCAGGCTCAAAGAGAACCAGCCACCCGGGGCTAGTGGGTGAGAGGCAGGCAGGAGGATGGAGACCCCATATCCCTGAGCATCTTCCCGGGGCCGCACACCTACCCGCTCTTGGCGATACGTGTCCCGGATGCAGTGCCAGATGCCTGTGTACTTCGGCTCTGTCTGGATCCTGACCTAGGGGTGAGGTCAACTTCAGGAAAGGTTGACCCCCTGGCCTAGAGCGAGGCCGGCGGGCCCTGGGGATGTCCCCACTGTCACAGGCACACTGGTGTGGGCACGGTGGGGACAAGGAACCCTCCTGAAGATGACCACACTGAGGCCAGGGTCATCCCCTGCGAGAGCATGAGAAAGAAGGCCTGACACTGCCCCAGGGACCACTGAACGAGCGGAGCAGGAGACAGTGTACGAGATTAGCATTCGGATGACCAGGGATGCATGCAGGGGACATGGGGTGCCCAGGCCAGGCCAGATTCTGGGGTGGGATGGGGCTGAGCCTTGCACACCTTCACTGTGTCCAGGGGGTAGCCCACAGCAACTCCGCAGACGCCTGCAAGGGAACGAGAGCATAGTAAGGGGAGGGCAGCAGCAGCAAGAGCCCACCTTACAGAAGGGGAGGTGACCCCAAATGACCTCCTGCCTATGGAAAACACCACAGGGCTCCCCTGGCAGCCCCGAGTCTGGACCTTGGTTTGTTGGCCCCATGTCATCCCTCGGCTTTTCCTCCCAAGACTAGCATAGCACTCTACCAGTCGAGCCACAACTGTACTTCCAGCTTTTTAGTGGTTAACTACACATAAGAATCTCACTGAAGCTGGGTGCCAGTGGCTCACACCTGTCATCCTAGCTACTCAGGAGGCTGAGATCTGAGGATTCCAGTTCAAAGCCAGCCCAGGCAAGAAAGTCTGTGAAACTTATTTCCAAGAAACCACCAGAAAACCAGAAGGGGTGCTGTGGATCAAATAATAGAGCACTCGTCTTGAGCTGAAGAGCTGAGGGGCAGCGCCCAGGCCCAGAGTTCAAACCCCATGACCAAAAAAAAAAAAAAAATCTCATGGACTTTCCTGCCCAGGCTGGCTTCCAACTGTGATCCTCAAATCTCAGCCTCCTGAGCTCCTGAGTAGCTAGGATGAAGGCATGAGCGCCAGTGCCCGGCTCTTGGCCTCATTCTGGCCTATGCTTACATCACGGTGAGGCCAGGAGAATGGCAGCTTTGCCCCTGAGCCTGGTTCCGACTCTGGTCCCCAGCCCGACACCACTGGGAGGAAGAGGAACCTGTAGCACATGGGACCTCACGGGAGGTCCTTAGGTGGCTGGGGCATGCTCCTGGAAGGTGCTGGAACCCCAGACCGTTTCTCTTCCTCCTTGGGAAGAAGCAATGGCCCCTGCTCCACAGGAACCTCCAGGGTCTCCAGATGAGTAAATTTTCTCCAAGTTAGTTTTCTGGAACATTTGCACAGTGACGGAAGCTGACTTGCAGAGCTCCCCGCCCCCCTGCCCAGGCCCAAGCTGTGGACCAGGCCCTCTACCCTCTGCCCTCTGCCCTCTGCCTTCTACCAAGGGTGCTATGCTGCCATTCTGGTCTCCCTGCTGACACCAGGGCCCCCATAGCCAAGCCCAGCAAGCCCAGCATTGCCTTGAGGCGGCAAAGAGGGGTCAAGCGGATTCCTGGCCTTTCTTTCTCTGTGTGCTGTTTGGAGGGGGGAGGGCAAGCCATGAGACTGTGCTCTGTTTGCTGTGGACCCCAGGAGTCAATAAATACACAAGAGTAAAAGAATGCTGCAGCTCACACCTGTAAGCCAGTTACTCAGGAGGCTGAGATCTAAGGATCAAGGTTCAAAGCCAGCCTGGACAGGAAGGTCACCTTTTTTAAAAATGATATTTTTATTATCTTTAAGTAATTGTACAAAGGACGTAGCATTCAACAAGTCAATGTATGACTACAGTGTACCTTAAATGATGCCCCAGCCCATCCCCACCCATCTCTCCCACCCAGCCCTTCCCCTCAATCTTCTGGATTTCGTAGAATTTGCATCGAAGTTTGACAGCATTTCCCCTATCCCCAAAGGTGAAGCTCTTATCTCCAATTATCCAGAAAAAAACAAAAACCCACAGAAGTGGGAGTGTTCAGCGGTAGAGCACTAGCCCTGAACAGGAAAGGCAAAGGACGGTGTTCAGACCCGGAGTTTGAGCCCCAGTACCCTCCCCCACCACCACCACCCCACACGCACACACACACGCACAGAGTGAGTGGGTGAAGAAGTAGATGATGAGGTAAAGCCTTGGCGGACAGAATTTCTCTCCTTGTCCACCTCACCAAACTGACACCGATGCATCAAAGGCCGGCGTCACCCGCTGTCGGGATGCCGCCCTGACTGGACTCTGGCAGCCTCTCCCTGCCTCTGTCACGTGTCTTGCTTCTTTTTTGGGGGGGATCTGGTCATGGGGCCTGAACTCTGGGCCTGGGCGCTGTCCCTCAGCTCTTCAGCTCAAGGCTAGCACACTACCACTTGAGCCACAGCGTCACTTCCAGCTTTTTTCTTTTTTCTTATGTGGTGCTGAGGAATCGAACCCAGGGCCTCAGGCATGCAAGGCAAACGCTCTACCACTGAGCCACCTTCCCAGCCCCACATGTCTTGCTTCTGTGCCCCACATGCTCTCCACCACCGCCAGTCACAGTCCCTGAGTACCAGCCCATGCCTGGGTCGCTATGACCACCGCCAGGCGCAGAGCGAGGGTCCTCTCTCGCCCAGGCCTCTTGGGGAAAAGCCCTCCCAGGAAGCTATTCGTGCCCTTTGGCAAGGCCAGGCCTCCCTCTGGGCCTCCCCTTTTGGGTGCTCATGTTCAGGGGAGCAACTGGACTCAGGCTGGCACAGACAGTGCAGGAGCAGTCAGGGCCAAGTCCTTCCTAGGCCTCCACCCCCACACTGCGACTGTTCCAGAAGAATGCCAGTGCCATCCCCCGGCTCTTGCACAAGACAAAGCAACGCCAAGGACACCTCACTCAGAATAGACCCTCAGGGCTGGGAAGGTGGCTCAATGGTAGAGTGCTTGCCTCGCATGCATGAGGCCCTGGGTTCGATTCCTCAGCACCACATAAGCAGAAAAAGCCAGAAGTGGTGCTGTGGCTCAAGTGGTAGAGCGCTAGCCTGGAGCTGAAGAGCTGAGGGACAGCGCCCAGGCCCAGAGTTCAGGCCCCACAACCGACAAAAAATAATAATTATAGCTCCTCAGCCTACAGACGAATGTCCTGGGCGGACCAGAGCGTCCTGCAGCACCAGCTCATCACGCAGGGGCAAAAAACGGCTGCGCCTCAGCAGTCCCCCACCTCCGCACACAGCCTCTGCCTGGCCCTCCAGTCCCCAGCTGGGGGCGCTGGGCGGGGAAGTGTTCCTTCAGTCCCTGCTGGTACGCCAATGTCCCTAGCCAGCCCCCAAGCTCCGGGCCCTGCGGCGCACTCAGGAGCTCACCTGCCTCAGCAGACTCAGATCACACTTGGGGCTCCCCCAAACACTTGCACACACACAGCACCGCCTGCGGACCCAGCTTCCCCTGCCCTCCCTTACCTCCGATGGCCCCAGCAACAAAATCCATGGACAGCTCAGGAGGTGGAGGCAGGGAGGCCCTGGTCTACTGCTGAGAATGAGCTTCTGAGGGGCCAGGTGGCCTCAACCGTTTCCTGTGCTTCTCTCAGACCTTAAGTACCTTTGGGAGGAGAGCTGGGGGAGGGGTCAGGAAGCCAGCGTCCGGGAGTGGTCCAAAGCAGATGCCAAGCAGAGCAGAGGCACACGGGTCGATGGCCACGCCCACCCCCTGTGCCTGGCTCCCCCACCCCACACGCTCCCAGGACCCCAGTGTCAATGCCCTCCTGACCCCAGATGTCAGGAAAGTGTGTGAGAGGTCACAGAGGTAGCACCCCACCCCCCACCCGCAGCTCAGCCTCTGACCAGCCAGAGGCCAGCGTGTGTGTGCTGGTCACTTGAACTGACCATAAAAGCAGTAAGCTCTCTTTCTCTTGTGTTTTGTTTTTTTGTCGGTCATGGGTTTGAATTCAGGGCCTGGGCTCAAGGCCAGTGCTCTACCACTTGAGCCACAGCGCCACTTCCGGCTTTTTCTGTGTATGTGGTGCTGAGGAACTGAACTCAGGGCCTCATGCATGCGAGGCAAGCGCTCTACCGCTGAGCTACCTTCCCAGCCCCCAGCAGTGAGCTGCCAAATGTCCATCCACTGCACTGTTTACCTCCTGCCCCGGAGGCAGTGGGATGGTGCCTGGCTGCACTTGGCGGTGGAAGTGCTGCCAGATGGCTCGGTGGGGTGGGCTCTGGCCAGGCCACACTCACCAGGCTGCCCCCTCTCATGGGCAGTCCAGGAAGGAAAGGACGCCTCATCTCTACTGCTGGGTCGGCAACCGTTCAGCAGCTCCTCAGCTACAGCCCCATGAAGAGATCTAGAGGTTTGAGGCCCCATGGCCGCTGGGCCCTGCCCTACAGGAAGCTGTGGAGAGGGGAAGGGCAGGGGTCACCGCCTCCCTCCAGCAGCGCTGTCCCTGTGCCCTAAGGCAGGGCAGCAGGAGCCCACGTGTCCATCTGTTTTCCTGTCCTCCGACAGGCAGCTACAGGCTGGCCTTGAACAGTCTGGGAACTGAGGAAGGGGTACTCCCCGACACCCACCCACCCACCGCCAGTCTGTCTGCTTGTAGGCAGGGCTAGTTGCCACAACAGAGGGCAGAGGGCAGGAAATGACCTGTCCAAGGCCAGTCGCCACATCGGTCCTGGCCTGTAGAAAAACATGGCTCAGTGTGCCAGAGCCCAGCTGCCTGCATTCAAATCCCAGCTCTGCCTTCCATGGTTTGAGGCCCGGAGCAGTCCTGATGCCCTGCGCCTCCACTTTGACCCAGGAGGAAAAACAGCACCTGCCACGTGCATGGACACTGCTGTGTGCGTGGACACCTGCCACATGCCCCTGACAGCTCAGGGCGAGCTCCAGGCGCGGCGCTGTGGGATGGAAACCACCAGCTGCTAAGGCTGCATCAGCAAAGCATAGCGTGTAGAAGGAGGCTTGAATGGTTGACATACAGTGGAAAAGCCAGTGCTTCTGACAATGAGTTGCTTGTGTGTATGCCAGGGAACAAGATCCCATTAAGTCCCACTTTCCTTTTCTTTGTCCTTGTTTGTGCGTGCTGGTCCTGGGGCTTGAACGGGCCTGGATGCTATCCCTGAGCTTTAGTACTCAAGGCTGGTGCTCTACCACTTGAACCACAGCTCCACTTTTTTATGTTGTTGTTGTTTGTTTGTTTGTTTTGGCATTTTTTTGTGTGCTTAATTGGAGCGAAGTCTCACAGCCTTTCCTGCCCAGTATAGCTTTGAACTGCAATCCTCAGATCTTAGCCTCTTCAGTAGTTAGGATTACAGGTGTGAGCCACCAGCATCTGGTAAAGTCTTTTACATTTCTTTCTTTTCTTTTTCTTTCTTTTCTGTCGGTCATGGGGCTTGAACTCTGGGCCTAGGCGCTGTCCCTCAGCTCTTCAGCTCAAGGCAAGCGCTCTACCACTTGAGTCACAGCACCACTTACAGCTTTTTCTGCTTCTGTGGTGCTAAGGACTCAAAACCCAGGGCCTCATGCATGCAAGGCAAGCGCTCTACCACTTGAGCCACAGCGCTACTTCCGGTTTTCTGGTGGCTAACTGTAGATAAGAGTGTCACGGCCTTTCTTGCCCGAGCTGGCTTTGAACTGTGATCCTCAGATCTCAGTCTCCTGAGTAGCTAGGATGACAGGGTGAGCCACGAGCATCAGTACAGTTGGACATTTCTAATGCAGTAAGTTCCACTCACCCTGCTCTGGAGCCCAAAGTGGCCACCGCCCTGTGCCCTGCTCGCCTGCGTGTCATCCCTGGACAGCCGCGCACCTGTCCGTGTCCCCAGCACTACCCACCAGCACTGCCTGTACTTGCCAACTGCCTGGCGTGGAGACGCACGGACAACCACAGCCAAGCCCTGGAGGGGCCGATGGCCAGGAAGGAGACGGAGAACCCCAAAGAACGCAGCAAATCCAGCACAGCCCGAGTTCCAGGGGTGAAGGGTGCATTGCGCAGCTGGGAAAGGCGACACTGGAGACAGACACGGCCCTCGCCACAGCCAACCCTCACCTGCCCTTGTGTCCTGCACAAGCCCTCCCGGACCTCCCCCCCCCCCCACCGTGGGAACAGACAAGTCACCTCAGTGTGTGCACCTCTCCGCGCTTGTCCCAGCAGCTCCCGTGGGCTGTGCGCCGCTGGCAGGCAGTCACCTGGGTCCTCCCATGCCCACTGCGGACAGAGGAGCAAAGGGTTAGTGTTATGCGGGGAACAAACACAATGCAGGAGTGGACAGATGGAAGAAGGGAGGAATGCAGAGTGATGAATGGACAGAAGAGGGACCGGCAGGGAAAGGTCGGGAGGAGGAAGGCAGGGGAGCGGAGGGAGGGGCCCAAGAGGGGCCAGCTCTGAGAAAAGGGCAAAGGATTCCTACGGAGCTCATGATAAAGCTCATTAAGCAAACAAGAGGATGATAAGAACAGAACAATTTAAAAAACTTGAAATTGTCTTAATGTGAGGAGGGAGGTAGGGGGGAGAGGGAGGCTGGGGGGCGTTCATTGTGTGTTCCTATGGAATTCTTGCGAGGAAACTCCCCTTGTACAAGGAATAGACACAAACTAAAAACCTTTTAACAGGGCCTGGGAAGGTGGCTCAGTGGTAGAGCGCATGCATGAAGCCCTGGGCTCAATTCCTCAGCACCACATGCACAGGAAAAGCCAGAGGTGGTGCTGTGGCTCAAGTGGTAGAGCGTTAACCTTGAGCTGAAGAGCTGAGGGACAGCGCCCAGGCCCAGAGTTCAGGCCCCACGACTAGACCCCCCCCCCCCAGAAAAAAAAAAAAAAGAAAAGAGCTCAGGCCTGAGTTCAAGCCCCATGATCAAAACAGAACAAAACATGACAGTAAGAAAGGAGCCACATAGAGTTCTTGCCTTGCATGCCTGAGGCCCTGGGTTTGATTCCTCAGCACCACATAAGCAAAAAGAAAAAAGCCGGAAGTGGCGCTGTGGCTCAAGTGGTAGAGCACTAGCCTTGAGCTGAAGGGCTGAGGGACAGCGCCCAGGCCCAGAGTTCCGGCCCCACAACCGGACCCCAAAAAAAAAAAAAAAAAAAAGAAAGGAGCCACAGCACCTGCCCCGCTTCCTTCAGAAAGGACTTTCGGGCCTGCAGTGGTAGGTGTGTGGCATGTGGTCATCTCCTGCACTTGACTGGCCTGACTCAGGGGGTGGCAGAGGACAGGACCCAAGCAGTAGAGCTTGAGGCCTTGGATTCAATGCATATCTCACACACACACACACACACACACACACACACACACACACACACACGCGCGCGCGCGCGCGCGCGCGCGCACGCGTGCGCATATTCACAGAGGAAGTGCTAAGAGGACATCCGGTGGCCTGGCAGCCAGAAGCTTGGCAGATGCTCTCTGCCTGGATGGCATCACGATCTGCCTCTCCCAATTGAGTGACCTTGAGCTAGTGGGATGACCTCACTGGGTCTTGATTTTTCCATTAGGCAATGGGATTTCAGGAGGTGGAGCCTGAAGGACTCCCTGCAGGGCCATCCTCCAATGGGGTCACGTGTGTTAGAAAAGGCTTCCTCCACCAGTGTCCCAACCCACTGTGTGCAGCAGGACGGGGTCACCACCTCCTCCGGGGTGACAGACGTCGCCGCCCATACCGTGCGCCATGCCAAAGCCTCCTGCAGAGAGTGTGGGCTTCTGGCTGAGACTGTGGAGGAGCTGGGCATAGTCCCAAGTTCTACTTTTTATAGCAAAAGGAGAAGCCACAAAGTATAAAATCCATCCAGCTAAAGAGCCAGAGCCAGAAGAGAAAGTGAAGTCCACGAGCCAGCCCTGGAACCTGCTTTTCTTTCTTTTTCTCCCAAGGCCATACTATGTAGCTCATGGGACTCAAACTTCTCTTTTTTTCTTTTCTTTTTTGGTCCGGTCGTGGGGCCTGAACTCTGGGCCTGGGCGCTGTCCCTCAGCTCTTCAGCTCAAGGCTAGCACTCTGCCACTTGAGCCACAGCACCACTTCCGGCTTTTTTCTTATGGGGTGCTGAGGAATCAAACCCAGGGCCTCATGCAAGGCAAGCGCTCTACCACTGAGCCACCTTCCCAGCCCCACTCTTTTCTTTTTAAATATAGATATAGTTAAACTTTATTATGTAAAGTTGATAATCATGAAGAACTGAGTGGCATAATTTTGAGATACAAATATTATCTAGCAAAAAGTAAATATCTCATGAATTCAAAATTAAGCACAGTAGGAGCTGGGAATGTGGCTTAGTGGTAGAGTGCTTACCTAGCATGCATGAAGCCTTGGGTTCAATTCTTCAGTGCCACATACACAGAAAAGGCTGGAAATGGTTCTGTGGCTCAGTGGTAGAGTGCTAGCCTTGAGCAAAAGAAACTCAGGGACACTGCCCAGGCCCTGAGTTCAAGCCCCAGGTCTGGCAAAATAATAATAATTATAATATATTTTTTTAAGGTCTGGTTGTGGGGCCTGAACTCGGCCTGGGCGCTGTCCCTCAGCTCTTCAGCTCAAGGCTAGCGCTCTACCACTTGAGCCACAGCGCCACTTCCGGCTTTTTTCTTTTTGCTTATGTGGTGCTGAGGAATCAAACCCAGGGCCTCAGGCATGCAAGGCAAGCACTCTACCACTGAGCCACCTTCCCAGCCCTTTAAAAAAATTTATTTTATTTATTTTGCCAGTCCTGAGGCTTGAACTCAGGGCCTGGGCACTGTCCCTCAGCTCCTCAGCTCAAGGCTAGCACTCTACCACTTAAGCCACAGCACCACTTCAGGCTTTTTCTGCTTATGTGGTGCTGAGGAATCGAACCCAGGGTCTCATGCATGTAAGGCAAGCACTCTGCCACTGAGCCACATTCCCAGCCCTTATTTTTAAATTTTTATTTTTTTGTTGGACATGGGCTTGAATTCTGGGCCTGGGCATTGTCCCTCAGCTCTTCAGCTCAAAGCAAGCACTCTACCACTTGAGCCACAGAGCCACTTCTGGTTTTCTGGAGGTTAATTGGAGATAAAGAGTCTCATGGACTTTCCTGTCCGGGCTGGCTTTGAACCAGGATCCTCAGATCTCAGCATCCTGAGTAGCCAGGATTACAGGCGTGAGCCACCGGTGCCAGGTGTAAATTTTGTTTTCAATTGTTATTATAAAGGTGATGTACAGAGGGGTTCCTGTTATATAGGTCCGGTTGGCCTTGAACTCTTGATTCAGGCCAGGGCTACTGGAAACAGTCTCGAACGTTTCCTTTCTATTTTCAGTTTGCAGTTTGCTTCCTTTTCCCATTCCCTGTGTGTCTTTTGCCATGTGGGTGCCTAGGCACTCCTTCCTGTGCACATCCACAGCACCCCAAATTGTGGAGAGCAGGGATCATGTGTGGCCCAGGGCTCTGAGCAAGATTGCCAGGGCCCGGCCCCACTCTGCTGTTTCTAAATGCATGATCTGGACAAATACCTTCCCCGCCAGGGCCTGTTTCCTTGGCTGTGAAGAGGAAACTGTCACCCAGCAGCAGATGGTTGGGAGGGCCCAGGAGTCACTGGCTGTAAAGCATTTGGAAGGTGCTCTAGGACGGATGGGTGCTCAGGTCTGTCATCCTTGAACTCTCGAGGCTGAGGCAGGAGAATGAAGAGTTTGAGACCAGCCTGGGCAACTCAATGAGACTCTGTCTCAAAACAAAACAATTGGCCGGGTGCTGGTGGCTCACACCTGTAATTGTAACTACTCCAATGGCTGAGGTCTGAGGATCCCGGTTCAAAGTCCATGAGACCTTTCTCTTCCACGAAGTACCAAAAAGCCAGAAGTGGAGCTGAGGCTCAAGAGGGTGAGTACTAGCCTTAAGCAAAAAGCTTAGGGACAGCTGGGCACTGGCAGCTCATGTCTGTAATCCTAGCTACTCAGGAGGTTGAGATCTGGCAATCCTAGTTCAAAACCAGCCTGAGCAGTAAAGTCCAAGAGACTCATATCTCCAATTAACCACCCAAGAAAGGAATGGTGCTGTGGTTCAGTGGTAGAGCACTAGCCCAGAGCAAAACAAAACAAAAAAAAACCCTTGGGGACAGTGCCCAGGCCCTTAGTTCAAGCCCAATGACTGGCACAAAAAGAAAGAAAGAAAGGCCAGGTGCCATGGCTCACACCTTGTAATCCTAGCTACTCAGGATCGTGGACAGGAAAGCCCGTTAAACTCCAATTAACCACCAGAAAGCCAAAAGTGAAACTCTGAGTCAAAGCAGGAGTGCTAGCCTTGAGCAGGAAATCTTAGACTCAGCACCCAGGCCCTGAGTTCAAGTCCCAGGACTGGCTTGTACAAACACACACACACACACACACACACACACACACACACACACACACAATAAAAATAAAGGTGCTCAGCAGGCTCCGGGATTTAGGCCGCCCTAGCCTTGGACCAGGTGTCTCGGTGGGTACAGACCTACCCAGCCCTCAGCCCTAAGCCTGCCATCCCCCCGGCACCCACTGGGTCACCCCTGATGCCCATATCACCTCTGAGTCCAGAGAAGCCGTCTTCTGCCTAAATGGGGGTGAAGAAAATGCCCTGATGTGGAGAAAAGACCCTGCTTCCATTCCCAGCATCGGCTTCCTCTTCCACCTGAAGAGCCACACCAGGCACAGAGATCCACCCCACTGGACACGAGGGGTCTTGAGTGCCCGTGCTCCCGTTAACCTGGGCTCCGTGGGCTCGGTGCCCCACAGCTGGAGGACTAGCCTGGCCTAGCTGGACTGTGAATGCGGCACACAGGTGGACAGAAGTGAACCAGCCTGTACAGCTGAGAGCTCCGAGCGAACTAAACGTCTAACTACACAAGAGTCAGGGATGGCTGACTGGTGGATGGAGACACCAGTGCCTGCCAAGCATGCTGGGGGGGGGGGGGGGGGGACGGTTACTTTACAGACTGATTTCCAGAAGGAAGGAAGACTTTTCAGCCAGCCCTACTTGAATCATTTTAAATTTATAGGGTCTTATTAATCCAGGCACCAGTGGCTCCGTCCTGTAATCCTAGCTACTCGGGAGGCTGCCTGACAGAGTTCAAGCCCAGTACACACACACACACACACACACACAAAATCACACACACACACACACATGCTGATGATGATGACGATGACGATGATGATGATGATG